TCTAATTTGAAGTAGTGTCAGTAGAATACCATGCCTTTAATTCAAGTGCAAACAAGGGGAATAAATTATGCCTAATTCAGGTATCATGGTTAACTCCAGCAAAGATAATATTATTATTCCGTCCGATGAGCCATGCTTAATCAAGCGCGTAGCCAGGATTTCATTTTAGGGGGGGCGGTAGTGAGCACGCGAAGCGTGCGAATCACTTACAGAGCGCGCATAGCGCGCTCCCTAGGGGGGAGGGTGCAGGGAGGGGGGAGGTTACCCCCTCCCGCGCGAAGCGCGAAAGCTTTGAGGTTTCATCAAATTATAAGAGAATGAAGACGATTCGTTGGACCATTCTCGACTCTTAATCCGTTATCTAAATTCAGTTTCTGTTGACGTTTCATTAGAGAAAGAAGACGATTCGCTGTACCGTCACGGTCCTCGACTCTTAATCTTTGTTTGAATCAAGTTCCCCTGCCTCCGCGCGTAGCGCGGAAGCTCTGAAGTTTTATTAGACCATTAAAGAAAGAAGAAGATTCGTGGTACCATTCTCGATCGACTCTTAATCCTTGTCTGAATTCAGTTTCCCCCCTCCCCTCCCGCGGAAGCTTTGACGTTTCATAAATTATTAGAGAAAGAAGACGATTTGTTGTACCGTTCTCGATTCTTAATCCTTATCTGAATTCAGTTCCCCCCTCCCCTCCCGCGCGAAGCGCGGAAGCTTAGACGTTTCATTAAATTATTAGAGAAAGAAGACGATTCGTTGTACCGTTCTCGACTCTTTATCCTTTTTCTTCCTACGTCCTCTTCCTTTCTTCTTTTATTCTCTCTTTTTTTTTTTTGGGCCGGCGTTTTTTTTTTTTGGGGGGGCGACCGCCCCCACCGCCCCCCCTGGCTACGCGCCTGTGCTTAATAATTGAATGTAGTCAATGACTATTAACAAAAGTAAATTTCTCATAATTTCATTAAAACGATTCTGATTTATTTCCAACAAATTTCCAATAACTCCCTTTAAAGCCCATCTGTACTAGTTTACAGGAGGGATTAGACCACCCTGCAATGTCACTAACAAGTGGTTATCTCATCAAATCAGCTCTCAATTGACATGAGACAAAGAGGATCATGGGGGACCAATGGTCACCGATTAGGCATTGTTTACAATACTTTATAGAGGGTGCACGTAGCTATAAGTAGTGCAGTGGGGCTTTAAGATAGATTAAAATACAATACAGCCGCTTATGCTTTAAACAAATGGATTGTATTTTCTAGGGAGTGAATGGAAGATATAGAGCAAATCTTCTACGGATCTCAAGACGATCGAAGGGTAAACTTTCTCAAGGTCGAGAGTGTTTTAATATAGATATATCGCCTGCTATGAGAGACTTGGCTGTTTTTGTAAGCTCAAGGGGCGTTGCACCCTGTCATGACCCCGAGGCGCGCCTGGGCGTCCCCGAGAGCCAGGCCTCGAATATTAAAGCAGTCGATATATCTTTTATATACCGAATTCACACAAAAATCTTACCAGAATTCTTACCTTATATTCTTTTCTTGACTAAAGATTGGTTAAAACATGACAGAAAATCAGTCTGAGACACTGTCTCTTAATCTTCGCTGGAAAAATGACTGAATGTTTTGGGGAATTGCACACACACTGCACTGTATGGTATCCGCGCTCGCACAAGGTAACTTTTAACACATAAACCAATAGGGGGTCTCATCAAAATTCGACTAATTTCCCGGTACCCGGAATCTTTCGGGAATCTCACTCATGAACTATTGACCGTTATTGGCATTGTGAGTTACTTTACGGGAATGGCTAAAATCACGACTCCAATTTCGACTAATCAGTTGGCTAGATTTCTAAAGAGAGGTATATAACATGTTTTGTTCCATTGCAGAACTGCAAATTACAAAATCAGTCGGATAGATATTCTTCTGAAGGATGAGCGATCTGGTTCTGTTAAATTCTCTGAGCCCCTAAATGACATTTCATCCTCCCTTATCTTCCTTTTCCATCACTCTGTCAGTTCAGGAAAGTTCATTTCCAAAGCGCAATCCAGTCCCATCGATCAGGCATACAAATTATATAGCCCCCACTGTGGAAAGAGCAACACATTTCCGTCCACCTTAATGACGCCAAGAACGGCGGGCCCTGTTGCACCAGACGTAATGACCAAGAATAAATCGCAAATATTCAACTCATCCCAACAACGCGATCGCAAAGACTTTTGAAAAATAAACCTGAGGTAATTCAAAAGCCCAGTGTACCACCTATTGAACGGTGCGTACATTACAATGATTATTACGTAATTCGAACATGATTTTTCTTTTGGGATAAACATGGGATGTAGGGTATTGATAGTGCCCCCAGATGATTACTAGAAAGTCTCTGCGATCGTGCTGGATTTAGAATCCATCATTTCGAGAGTTGCGACTGAATTCTTGATTTCGATTATCTAGAGCCTGAAAAGTTGCGTAAAGAGTACAACCCGCGATTGATTGTAGGCTTTGTAGCATCCTGTAAAAATAGGGACTCGTGATTGGTTTAACAATACACACAGGCGTATTCCTTTTGAGAGCACACAAAAGCTTGTTCTATTGAAGCTATGATCCTATAGAGTACTGGAAAGGAGTGCATTAGCGAACTAATAGCGTTAGCGATATGATTTCCCTTTCCGATGCTTGCATAATGACTAGAACCGGTAAAAGGATTAAACCCACTATACACACCCACGCAATCAAAAGCATAGCCTTCGATCATTGATGTACTGAATACGGAATTGAAATCGTCAAATGGGGCAATTATATAAAGTGATGGATGACCGCTGACCATTGTTACACAAAATTGTCGCCGCTATCTTCTTCATTTGCACTACACAAAATAGGCAAAATTCGTGATTTTATTGATAGATGTACAGCAGAACGTTTGGTTCATGCTTTTGTTCATGATTGTGTAATTTTGATTTGTGTAATAGTCTCCTTTTTCGGTTACCACTTCGTCAAATAAAAAGATTACAAACCATTCAAAATTCAGCAGCGCGGCTAGTTACATGAGAACATAATTAAATATCCCCTGTCTTAATCGGTTACCAGTCCAGTCTCGCATCCAGTTTCAAATATTGTTATTAGCATATAAATGTTTTTATGAATTAGCTCCCTCTTATTTAATTAAATATCCCCTGTCTTAATCGGTTACCAGTCCAGTCTCGCATCCAGTTTCAAATATTGTTATTAGCATATAAATGTTTTTATGAATTAGCTCCCTCTTATTTAAATGAATTACTCACTGTAAATAAACCATTTAGAAATCTTCGATCATGTAAAAAGAATTTATTTTTGTTCCTCTTATTTTGACAATCACTTATGGTGAACGTTCATTTGTCCATGCTGCCCCAGTTTTAAGGAATAGCCTACCAGACTCACTTAGAAACATTGACACAATAGATGAGTTTATCTCCACCCTGAAAATATATTTATTTCAATTGTTGTAAACAAGAAAAAGGAAATCGGTACCCAATTTTCTCTTTGCTTTTTTTTTCTAAGCGCAGAGGGAAATACAGTGTAATGTGTTATATACGCTATATCAAAATGGATTGTAATCATTATAATCATTATCGTGGGTTCAAACATTTCATGCATTTCTATTTTTCAACGTCATTCAAACACAATTAAAAGGGTGGGCTTGTGAACTACGCCGATAAAAGATGTTAAGTGATTGTATTAAGCATTGATCTCGATATTATAATAGCTAGTTACCATACTCTCTAAATTTGAAAGTCTTATTTTTAAATCTTAAAGTCTTACTTTTAAATCTAACAGAGACTGATATTAGTGACGAACCCTTTGGGATTTAAAATAAGTCTAAGCTAAGACTTGAAATTTTAAGTCCCTGAAAAGGTTTAAAATTTAAGTCAATTGGATTTATATTTCAAGTCTTTTAATATTTATTTTAAACCTTTCTTGGATTCATTTCAAAAATAAATCTAAGCTAAGACTTAAAATTTTAAGTCCCTGAAAGATTTAAAGTTTAAGTCAATTGTATTTATATTTCAAGTCTTTTAGATTTACTGGTCTAGCTAAGCCATTAGAACCATTTGGTAAAACTTCCAACCAATTGAACGGCAACAACACTTCAATACTGGTACGTCTGTATTATCAATGTAAAGGCATCGGTATTAAGTAGACTTATACATAATTTAATTAATCGAATTTTTTTTCATATACTTGTATTTTATTGAAATTATTTTAGTTCATAGTTAATGTTTCCCTTATTCATGTTTAATTAAATGGAATTCATACGAAGTAGCGAAATGTCCTAATAACTTGTAATTTATATTTGTAGTATTTTCGAAATGAATTGCATATACCTAAATCATCAGTAATTAAGAAATATGCTGTAAATTCAGAAAAATTGTTTAAAAACATAGATCTGCACGCACCCCATATTCAATATGCAAATTAATTGGTGTCAGCTGGTTCAACTGGAAATATGCCAACAGTCAGTCATCAACAGGTGCAACTGGAAATATGCACATCTTATTGGCGAGAAGTTTAAGTCTTTCCAAGATTTATATCTAGAAGCTGGTTTCGATAAAACTTTTAGTCGAATTCCCAATTTATTAAGTCTTAAAGACTTGAAATATTTTAAGTCTCAAAATGGATTTAAAATTTAAGTCCTAGAAATACGCCATATAAAAATGGATTATTACTATTATTATTGTGGGGTGCATGGTTTCAAATATTTCATGCATTTTTGTTTTACTAATCAACTACATTCAATCAAAATTAAAAGGGTGGGCTTTTGAATCACGCCGAGAAAAGAGGTTAAGTGATTGGATTAAACGTCGATCTCGATATTACAATAGCTAGTTACCACACATCCCCCAAAATACGCTACATAAAAAATGGATTGTTATTACTATTATTTTCATTATTATTGTGGAGCGTATGATTTCAAAATATATTTCATACATTTTGTATTACTCATCGACATTCAAACAAAATTGAAAGGGTGTGGTTTTGAATTACGCCGAGAACAGAGGTGACGTGATTGAATTAAACGTCGATAAGAAACTGATAGGCAGTCACACCTATGAACAATACCATTATAATATTGTTTAAAAATTAGAAGATGTCAAAGTTGATGTCAATTGACTTGACATCTATTCGAATAAAATAAACCCCATGGGCCAGGGCAAGCCAATTTTGTTTGGGTTGCCCCGATCTTTCTTGACCCTTTGGGCTGGCTGCCTGCCCCGGTAGCGTCATTTTTTTCTGCGGCACAGATTTTTTTTTTAAAGAGGTCTTGATTTAACCCTAACCCTAAACTTTCCCATAGGCTCAACACGCACCTAACCCCAATCTGTGCCGCAGAAAAAAATAACGCGCCCCGGTAAAGCCGTGAGGCTTTGTCTATAACCCTATATTATATTCATAGGGTACATTTCAGAAAATGCCTGAATCACTTACCCGAGAATAAATTTGATGTGGACCCCCTTAATTAAGCAGTCAAGTAATTTTATATTCCTTTATATCTAATAAGTACATTTTAGAAATTCCTTGAATTACTTGCCCTTTAATGGGCCAGAGCAACGTACCAATTTTTTGGCTGCCTTGATTTTCCCTGACCCCTTGGGCAAGCTGCCTGTCGCGGTAAAGCCGTTAGGCTCTTTCTATAACCCTATACGTCCCTCCGTATTTGAATCACGAGTATCGGGTATCCAACCATGCAACTTTGGAAATCGAACATCAAATATCCAACCAAAGTAATTAACTGCAGTGGCTGGTCGTTGATATCAGATGCGAGTGGTCAGGGGATAAAATGACAATTTGTACGAATCTATTGTTGCCTTAGGAACAGAGAGCTGGTCTCTTCTGATGATGCACGGAGCTTCGATTAGGGAGGGACGTATAGGGTTAGTGAGGAAGATAAATATTGACTATAGTTGGTGGTGTATTCTATAGAGCATGGTGCTTATTGTGCTAAGAGACGACTTGTGTACAGTGATCCCATATAAGCAAGGAAACTAGCAGACTCTATACCTGACGTGGGAATTTGATAGTCACAGAAGACAAAACAAGAAGCTGTTTTCTGCATCCTTTCTATACCTTCGGAAGCACGAGAAGTGTGGGATACCAGGCTTCAGCGCCATACTCTGGCCATGGACCTGCTCTAGCTGAGGTCGAACCATGCAAGGCCGTATATGCTCTTGATTTCACACCTTTGCATAATATATTCCCATATATATTTTCGCTCTGAATGTTTTCATTATCAGATAAATGCATTGTGATAATCACGATCACATCGTTTTAATCTCCCCACTACGCCCTCTTTCACACTTTGTGACAGATGAATTCTTCCCCTAGTCTGCTATTATCATTGTTTGTCGCTTGTGATCATCGAGCCATGCACCCACATCTTCTTTCCGTGCCTAGTCCCATTTATCCCTTATCGATTCCTTAAGGAGATTTAGATAAAGACGGCATTGTTCACGCTGAATTGTTACCCGTTACCACAGTTCATATCGATCTATGGTACACAGTGCATGGTACAGACCAGGCCCCCGTATTTCTTAAAATTGCTCTCTTCAGAAAGAAACATTGTACGTATGAGTAGCAAAGGAATATATGCACGATACATGTTTAATAACGTCTCTATACGCCCAAGAAGAGACAAAGTTTGTAAAGTTTAATTCCATGACTATGGAATTCCTGTTCGTCAGGATGAGATTGCGCTTCAAATAAAAAGGTATACAAACTCTGTGCATTGAATCGTCGTGCTTGGCGAGACTTATCGGATAATTTCTGAAGCTGTTTATGAACGTATTGATCATCAGCTCCCGTGCTTGATAACTTTAATAAAGAGGAGCAGAGGAAAAGGACAAGATTTGATATCCAACTTCAACATGGGATGTCGCTCTGGAAGATGCCATCTCCGCAAGTGGGCCGCGGATACTTCTGACTTACACGGTCTCAAGCATATAGCAGGATCTGGAAACTTATTTCGCCGTCTCGTCTGGCTGTGTCTCTTCCTGACTGCACTTGGTTTCTGTATTTACGAATGCTATCTTGTTTTTGTGGGATTTTTATCCTTTAACCATGTCACTCAGGTCGATGTCTTGTATAGCACCGAAGTGGAGTTTCCAGCAGTGACCGTCTGTAATATTAACAAATACAGGGAATCAGCCTTTACAGAGGATGATATTAAAAATGTCGGCGTTCACCTAGGTATGCTAATCTTCATTAATTTTTTTCTTCAGTATCACCCACCAAGCTAATAAAAATGTATAATTAAAAAAAAAATACATTGTAGTATACATGTGCCTATCCTAAGGCAAAAGTACTCACTCGATCATCGCGATCCTTTTTTTTAAACATTTTGTAAACAGGAAACGTTAATTTATTCATATGTGTTTCGTTGTAATTTGTGCAATCAGTTGCTTCTAGAAATAAAAGGGCCTCATTTTCTTGAATGAAAAAAACCTTATATCAAGAGGAAAATGATTCTTTTTGTAATAAGAATAAGCTTCTAAACATTAAAGTTGCCTGGCCTTATGCCGAGAAACGTCACCGACTGCTCATCCTCTTTTTAAAAATAAAGGATGTGAATGGTACGAAGTCTTGAAAGTTATTGATCAAATTCTACGCACACAAAATCTGAATAAAGGACGCCCAAATATCGATCGCAAACGTATACCTCTATCAATTTTTAATGGCACAACGTCGCTCATTAAGCATTACACCAACACGAAGAAACTAAAAAACATTACTTAACTCAAAAGTTCTTTTCACCTCTTTTTGTTGCATATTATTTTCGTTTTAAGCTTTTGTTTTTCTGCAATTTTGGCATTGATTTTATTCCATACATATATATTTTTTTTAAATTATGTCTAGATAAAGCATACTTTTTTTATTAATAATGTCGCTCAGGCCATGTCTCATGAATGAAACTGGCGAGCAAAACAATCTGCATTCACAACTGACAAAAAATTGTTCTAAATCAATTGCTGATAAACACATATTTCATGGCATTGATCTAATTGTACATTTAAAGCATTATTTTACAAATATAATATTATTTTCAGAATATTATATGAACAAATTGTCCACCTAAAATCTACACTTTCCAAATTTACAACGAGTAAAGTTCATTTTGATACCAATGGTTACCTTTTAGTATCATCGATCAACAGTGACGAGGGTCTTTTTTACACCTAGTTTGATGATCAATGTTAATTTCTTGTTCTTCTGTTATTTTTGGACGTTACAGGTATCATCGATGAAGATCATAACCTTCTCTTGCCTGAGCTTTACACTGATGAGTTCAGAGATTTCATTGATTCTGTTAACTGGACTGTCGTGGAGGAGGATCCTGATTACAACATGACCGACTTCACCATCAGAACCGGACATCAGAAAGAAGACATGATACTTTCGGTATAAATTGAGATGTATATTATGGACGTATCCGGACACATACCCCTGAACATCCAACCCCGGATAACCATCCCCAGTCAACTACCCCCAAGGACAACTAGCCCCCAGTACAACTACCCCCTAGGGCAACCACCCTCTAGGACGACTACTCCCGAGACAACTACCACCGGACAACTACCCCCGGACATGTACCCCTCAGACAACTACCCCTTAGGACAACTACCCCCGGAAAACTACCCCTAGGATAGTTGTCCGGGGGTAGTTGTCATAGAGGATGGTTGTTGTAGGGGGTAGTTGTCCGGGTGGTAGTTTTCCGGGGGTAGTTGTCTTCCGGGGGGTAGTTATCCGGGTGGTAGTTATCCGAGGAGGTAGTTGTCCTAGAACCGTATATTAACTTTTATTATTTATTATTATGTTTTATTCACTTGACCTCTCAATCCAAGGGTTGAGGGTTCGAATCCAACCCCGGCACTAAAGTTTAGCAATACGTCAATCCACATTTGCCACCCTCCACCCATGTGTAAATAGGTACCCGATTTGCCAGACCGCTATAATAATAGGCCATTTTCGTAATGAAATCAAATTTAAAGCACGATTCTTCGTTAAAATGAATCATTAATGTAATGCAATTAGCATTGGGACTATTGAAATACAATTATTCATAAAATTGAATGAAATAATTTGTAACATGGCACGTAACAAAGATTTATGTATTCAATTTGAGTAAATTACACAAAATGGTCTATTGGCCGCCGGCTATAAGCTGGAGCGCCTTGAATCCGCCATTATTATTATGTTTTTTCAAACAGATTTAGCACCCTTCTGGCTCTCAACAGACAATTTGATGGGACATGTTCGTATAGAAAGATTGTTATCAATCATACGATGTACCATGGTTACATATTTGTTCTAGGGATTAGTATGTCCCGTGCGTATTCAAACAAAACAGGGCACATGACTTGTCTTCCTCAGAAATAGCTTTGCCGTTACTTTACTGTACAAAATACGTCGAGTGACAACTGATGAGAAATAAGGACTCGATCTCCCTGGATACCCAGCAACCAGATAATAGTCAACTAGTAACTAACTGTTTGCCATCTGTTCTCGAAAGTGTCACTACAGTATAACAAGCTCTGTGTAGGGATGTTCAAGGATGTACTCTCACAGTAGAAGTTTTATAGAATATTACAATTCAATTTTTTTAAAGACGCTGTCGGAAGTGAAATGAAATAGATGAATTATATCAACGGAAATCTTATAAAATATTATATCAATATATGATATATTATGTCTATCAGAATAGTAAACGCTTTCTAAAAAAAGAAATCTAATGCTTTGAATGTTGCACATCATCTTCTTTGGAGTACTCATAATTATTCACAATGAGTTGCATTAATTTAATCACGGATCATCGCCTCAGCTGTTTAGGCGAGCCGGTCGGGTCCACATGTTATGTAGTCACCGTAACTGAGGTATATTTGAACCCTGTTGACCCGTAATTTGGAGGGGTGCGGAAAATGAGGTTTTAATATGCCTTTGTACAATAATGAAAGGGAAAAAAATTGTTTATTCATTTATATTTGTATTCCACGTTCATTCATCTTTCCTTCGTTATAAAGTTGAATTTTCGTCGGATAAGGTCTTTAAGAACAATCAAAAACACAATCGCAAACGCTTACAAAATAAACTCAAGGACAGTTTCAACACCCTTTAGTATATCTCCCATACAGCCATATAAATCATGTTCAGATTACGTAATACGTCATTGTCATGTCCGCACATTTCATTTATTTGTTCATGTTTTTTTTTGTTCATAGGTTTTTATTCTTTTCTCTCATAAAGAAAATTTTACATAATTTATAACATTGTATAAAAAATAACAAAATAATCTTCACATACAGGTCTAAATAAATTTGCAAGTGAACTTTTACATTTCCATACAAGGTTACAAATAAAGTTACACATTTACAGATGAAAAATATTTACATAAACAAAATTATATTTTCGCATTTTTAAACAAATCGCAAATAAAATTTGTATTATTTCATTGGGTGATGAGGCTGCTGATATTGATATTGATATTCTGAAAGTCATTGCGATTTTGTTGTTGTTGATATATTTTTTGGTTTCTATTTATGTTTGGAATAATTTTCATCTATACAGTGTTTGTGGAAAGAGGAACCGTGTGAAGAGAGCGATTTCCAACATAAACTAACACATCTCGGGAACTGCTACTCGTTCAATCTGCAAGGAGCAAACTCGGATGAAGCCGACTGGAAGCACTCATATGCTGCGGGTGCAGGTAATACCTCAATAACACCACCAAACCTAGTGTCTCTTCTGCTAAGAGAAAAATAGAGAATAAGAAAAAAATAACCCGCCACAACGATATATAACGTTTAAGATAAAGTTGAGTTATGGTCATGCGATTGCATTGTGGAAGAAACGGTGTGGAATCTATCAGAAAAAGTTGATCGTGTAGCATATAAGACAGTATTGATGTGCACTGCAAGGTTCTAGAATCATTAAAGTGATAAGAACTTTGACCCAGTCTTGGTAAAAGCATCAAGCACTGTACACAGAAAGATGCATATGGGACTCATTTTAAACTGTCACATGTCATATTTAGAATGATGAAGGCATTTAAAGAGCTTTGCTTTTCAGCGAATATTTTTTTCTCTGATGGTCTTCCACACTCCCGGCCCCCCCCCCCCCCCCCCCACTCCGAGAACGGACGGACCCCATGCGTGTTGCCAAAATGTCCTTTTCGTAACAAAAGAAAAAGGTCGACCCGTATTGACTTTACACACCGGACTTTTGCTGAAAAGGGGGGGGGGGGGGTCGGTTGGAACACGCATATGCGTACCCTAAATAACACTGAGTGGGGGGCCGGGTCCACTCTTCAATAATAACAATGAAAAAGCTCACAATTTGTTCACCTCTCCCCCAGAACTCAACCTTCTCTGTAAGTCATTGTTCTTAGAGAGTGTACACAGTTAAAAATTTAGTGAACATGTTGTTTAAAAGTTTAAACAACTGTTGATTAACGGGTGACCTGATCTAAGAGTTGTTTAAAATGTTAAGCAACTCGAGTTGTTTAAAGTTTAAACACTTAGTTGATCAACATTTTGAACAACTTGTTTAAAATCACAATTTAAACAACTGGTGTTGTTTAAAGACGGTTGTTTAAAACGGAGCTGTTGTTCAGTGGGGGTTGTTTACACCAACTGGGTTGTTTAAAAAGGAGCTGTTGTTCAGTGGGGGTTGTTTACACCAACTGGGTTGTTTAAAGAAAGTTGTTTAAAAAGGAGCTGTTGTTAAATAATAATAATAATATTGGATTCTTATATAGCGCACGTATCGACCTTGCAAGGTCCTCAAGGCGCTCCAACATTACCCGGCTATGCTAGGCTGCCATAGGACATTAGTTCCGCGGCGGGACTCGAACCGTGGACCTTGTGATCGACAGTCCGGCGACGTTTCCACTCATCCACGACACGTCTACAGCTTGGTTGGCCATGATTCGAAACAAATCTTTTAGCCAACGCGCACTTTACTGGCACGTGACACATGACGTCATATGTAAACAACACTGTCTAAAAGCTCTCGTATAGTAAATAAAGCAGTCATTAAATTTTAAACAGCGAATGTTTAACAAAATTACTTTCGTTTCGAGCAACATTGTTTACAATTTGTTCAACTGTTGTTTAAGATAGTGTACAACTGTAAGTGAACATCACTTTTTTAAGCAGCGTTTTTACTGTGTAGATATCTAGTATGAGACGACGGAACGGCCTAAAACCGGAGTAAATGAGAAGGATAATTTATCAACATGAAAAAGGGCAACTTGTGTTCACTTTAAGTGTTCTTTTAATGAATATTCATGCTTTTTTAGAGAATATAAAAAATTATTGGGACGATGGCGCACATCTAACCATTTGATTAAAAATCTTTTCCAATGTTTGACCAGACGCGTTCCCTTGAAAGCAATTAAACGGTCAGAGTAAACATTTGGTCGTGTCGTTATGACAACAGAACAGTCGATGAGCCGATGATGGTTTGCTAATTCGAAGTTATTACAATTAGTATACTAATTAACAACCTTAAAAAGTGATCTGAAGGAAGAAGTGATGCGATGTGTCTTGAACGGGCTAAAAAAAAAAAATCAAAAAAATCGGTGTTTCCTATTATAACTGTGTACGTATAAGTTGAAGAAAACACCATTATAAAAATCCCTCTCCCCTTAACATTCTTATATTTCTCTTTCAACATTCTCTTTTTTTTGTCCATCCTCACTTCTCCACCTTTCTACATGGTCCATCCCCTTTCTCTTACTCTTCTTCTTCTCTCTCTCTCTCTCTCTCTCTGTCCCCTCCCCCTTCTCTCTACTTCTGGTTCATTTCTTTCAAAATACTATATTCTACCCAACTCATTGACTCTATCACGATTTGAACCTCGCAGCCAATGGCTTACAGCTCATCCTGAACATGGAGACTCCCGAGTATACCCCGACCAACGATCTAGATGGAGGAGCCATGGATGCGGGTCTTCGGATCATGTTCCACTACCCGACGGAACCCCCGTACCCCAAGGAACTTGGTTTCGCAGTCGCCGCGGGAGATCACTCATTCATCTCCATGCGGCATGAAAAGGTGCAGAATAAAAATCATCTACTATCTTTGTTCGTTGTTGAACGTGTGTGCGTGCGTTGTGAGCGCGTGTGCGTGTTTTGTTATTATCATGTGTTAAAATATGTATTAATATCATGATCGTATTCGAATTCACGCGATTTATTGCGAATCAGATTAGCAAGAGATTACTGAATAAATAATTCAAGGCGTCCAAATCGTATTATAACAGCCTACAAATTAGAAGTTGATTATATAGCACTTCCACTAACTTACTACTCACATCAAAACAAAATCTTCTACTAGAATCAATGGAAACCCCTTCTGCTATAAGCTGTTAATGATAAGTGTTTTTAAAGTTTATCAGCAAATTAATTTCTGGATGCCCATTTTTTAAAACTCCGAATCTGCCAAGCCCACAATTCTTGCTCACTGGTTCATACAAGATATCTTTATGACGAATTAATTTTGCTCCATCAGATTTGTATCGACATAATTTATCAACTCAGCTAGGGAAGCAATATTATAGCAACCTGATGCAAGATCAAAAAAAGAAAGAATTCTGGAGAAAGAAAGTCGTTCTGATCAAGTTTAATTTTCCTTGATCCCAAACTCAGATCACGAGTCTACCCGACCCTTACTCCGAGTGCGAGTCGGATGGCGCGGACATCATAACCCACTTCGACCACTACTCCCTGCAAGCGTGTCGGATAGAGTGTGAAACCCTGGTCGTCGTAGCCGAGTGCGGTTGTCGCCTCCCCGAGATGCCAGGCGATGATGATGTATGCGGTCCAGCTGATTTACACGAGTGCGCGCACCCTACTTTAGGTATGTGCGATGCAAATGTCTCAGTAAATCGACAATAACAACGACTGATAATAGAACAGTGAAAGAATGCTCATCCTTTTCCGTGCATTTATTGTCTCAATATAAAACAATTATATTGATAGAAGGTATATAACTATCCTCCTTCTTCACGGTATTTACAATAAGATTGATGAAAAGGCTATGATTTCTCTCATCATTTTTCGTTTTAATTTTTTAATTAAACATATCAGTGCCATTTATAATCATTTAAGAATCATCCTCTTTTTTAATTGTATCTTTTTGGTTTAAAATGTTTTTTTCTCTTTTTCCTGTCGTTTCTTTGACTCCAAGTTTAGATTTTTATTTTTATCTAATTATATGTACAAACATGGTCACTGGATTTCAAGTTGCACACGACATATAATATAGCCGAACAAAATGAAGACGAAGAAGATGTAAAAGAAAGAGGAGGAGCAGGGAAAGACTAAGACGACTAAGACTTAAAAGAAGAAGAAAAAAAAGGTGGTGATGATGATAAAAATAGTAGTAGAGGAAGTATAAGGAGAAAAAGATGATGAAGAGAAAAGGAAGGTCAAAGACCAAGGGATAAAAAGAAGAAATAGAACGATAATAAATGTGTAACATTGATCTGCTGCTTATCTTTACAATGTGATTATGTTTCATTTGAAATCAGTTGAATTCATCACTGGGAACTTGGATTCAGCAGAGAGTTGCGAATGTTTCTCGCCCTGTGAAGTGGAAAATTATCCGTTTACCCTTTCAACTAGCAGACTGCGCTTGACCTACCTTGAAGCACTCTTTGCGAATACCAGTACAAACTTCACAGCTGCATACATTGGGTAAGAAAAGAAGAAACATTTCCATATCATGGAATTATTGATTGAATTATCGGGCATTCTCGAAATAGGTTATTGACCGAGTTCTAATTCGGAATGATTTTCACAATGAGCTGAAATTGATTTAAAAAAAAAAAATCTTTTTACTTTTTAACAACAGTTTGACCCTGTGACAAAAAGATTAACGATTGATTATGTCATCCCTAAATTAATCGTTTTTTTTTTCTTCAATAAATCGTAACTTTCTATCAGTTCAATTAATGCCATGCCTGATAAGTAACGATTAATTGCAAGAAATTTTGTACGATTCATTGTAAGTTGATTTTTATTTTACAAGGCCCAGATCCTCCTTCGGTAGTGTCATTTTTTTTTACTCAAAATATACATCATAAATTCCAGAATGCGCGATTTCTTGAAAAATAGGGGTTCCAGAAAACAATTCTAAACGAGTAGATATTTTCTCTTAAAGCCTGTCTGTACTAGTTTGGAGGGATTAAACAACCCAGGGTGGTTACTGACAGGTGGCTATCTCATCAACTCAGCTCTCAATTAATATAAGAAAAAGAGGATTATGGGGGACCAACGGGCACCGCTTAGGTATTGTTTTCTATATAGAGGGAGCAAGTAGCTACAAGTAGTGCAGTGGGGCTTTAATTCAAGTGGAGTTATAACAATGTAAAAACAATATATTTTTTGTTACAAGTCTTCTGACTAGGTTTGATATCACATAAAGTTTATGATGTCATCTTTGCCCCTGCCACATCTATTATCACCAGATTATGAAACTTGCAGAAGATAGTATTATTATGCACCGAAAAGACCCCCACCCCTAGAAAAAAAAAGGTAGCCTCCAATGCTTTTTCTTTTCGCCAAGGAGTCGGATCAATTAACTTAAAATTAAAGATAAGACAATTTTTCAAATAATTCGATACATTATATATCCGTTTTATGACTTTAATCATTTCAGCGAAAACATCGCAGTGGTATCGATGTACTACGAGGCTTTAAATTTCGAGACAATCGACATGTTGCCAGAGTATACTGTTGCAACATTGTTAGGTAAGTAGTATGTAATTCAATAATAATAGATCACATTTATAACGCGCCTAATACATTGTTTCTAGGCGCAGTATGATTTGATGTGATGATTATACAAACATTGTTGTGCAACATTATACATAATACCTGCTTGAAAAAAACAATAGAGTAACCATTCCTCTATTTAAAAACACTTCATTAAGTTTCCAAATGCAGATAAAGTCACCCTCTCTGTAAAATGGATGAGACACAAACTACCAGACATGCCGAAAGATTTTCATCATGGACGAATGAACCGTCGAAGTAGTTCTTTGTTAAATAAAACCTTATCATACCTTATAATTTAATGGCGGGAAAAATGGGGGAAAACAAAAACCGATTTTGAATGGTGGGAGTGGATGCTTTTTATCAGCATTATTTTCTGCTTAAAATCATATTAACCTGTATTTTCATTGAGATGATCTTACGAGCATGTTTCCTATTTTTCTTTCATCCCAATCTGTTTTTTAAATAATTCATCCATTCTGTTTTCTTTTAATTTTTCGATCCAATCTCTCTATTTACTGCTCTCACTCTCTCCCTCCCTCTCTCGTCAACCTCCTGTCTTTTTTCTCCATCTGTTACTCTCCCTCTCTCCTTTCTTTCTCTTTATCCCGTTCCCATTCTCTCTTTTTATAACTCCCTCCCGCATTCATTATCTATACAGCCGTTCTTGGAGGTAATCTTGGTCTGTTCTTGGGTGCCAGTTTCCTGACATTGGCCCAACTCGGAGAGTACTGTTTCGATGAGGTGGTCGGCTGGTGTATCTGTACGCCAAAAAAAGAAGACGATGATAAAAACGACGGTGGAAACAAAGTCGGACACGTTCCTACAGTTACGGCTATGGATGCTTGGGGTGCTCAAAAGCTCTAGAATAGGAAGATCACGCAATGCTATCCAATCAGAATGACCCCTTGAGTAGTAATAGCTGGTACCCTCATCGTGATTGGATAAACGTTCATTAGCTAAAGGTTCAAGGGTCAAGCCCTGAACGGGTTAATGCCATACATGGTACTCTGTTCCTTATTGGTAAACACTGATTAGCGAAAGTTGATTTTTATTCTTCCAATGAGGATCAACACATGGAGGTGTTAGTCGTGCAGCCTGATATCCTACTCCTGATTGGCCGAAGGCATATTGGCTAAACTTTTAATGACCAATCAGGTAATATTTTCGAACGAATAAGCTGCGCTGCACTGGTACCTTATTCCTGATTGGCTAAACACTAAATAGCTAAACTGGCAGGTGCCAATCGGGTTCTGTCTCTATCATGTCTACAGGAGCTATCTAAACCCTCACCCTTATCGGCATAACGGTTGGAAGAAGAGCCGAACTACTGATTGAAGATTGGATAGAACATCAGCTATACAAAGACGCCAAACCGTCCATGTTTGGAGATAAAGAAAGAAAATACATAAAATTGATTTTTCGCAATCACGTAAAAAGATCTATTTTATGATGTTAAACCTACACTAAATCGAAATAGGACAACACTATTGCAGGCGTTTGAACACAAACACATCCATACTTTAAACAAAAAATATTTATTAAAGCCTTATTTCATTGTTACATTGCCTCGAAAATAACTTACCTCGGTGTCATCATAATGAAGAATTAAAAAGGTTTACAATAGATTTCATTTTAGTGATCACTAAAGCTAGATATTTCAATGCAATATGTGTTTTATAAGTGCATTTTCATGTAAATAAAACAGAAGGACCTGTGAATATTCACATAATGAGATACATAATACAAGGTGCATTGTCCGCCTACAAATGATATCATGCTTTGTAAATATTCACGTAAATTATATTTTATCTTTTCCAATTATTAAAAAATTAAAACAATTTCACAGGTGTAGAGAACAGTATACATTCGTTATTAATAAAATTTGAAATTTTTCAAAACGATGGATAATACAAAGCCATAGACGTCATTTGCTGGAAGGGATAGGTTATTGTGTATTTTCCTACTACAAAGACCGACGACTTAAATTGAATCAGTCTTGCCAAACGCACAAGTAATTTGTACTCTTTTCAAGTATGTCATCTTACCATGTATAAAACAAACGATCAATTAAACGTACCCACATTCTGTATCAGTGCATGCATGTGATAATATGTGATTATAACATGTACAGTGTAGTTTTGCTTTAAATGATAGTGTGAGGAATTTTTTAGAAACACTGAATAGAATAAGATTACCATCATCTTGCTTGACCAAAGGCCCTATATATATAGTTGTATTTATATTTTATTTTGTATTTACTATGTGGCTTGTATTATTAATGTAGTCTTACTTGTGTGAAATGTACAGTAAGTTAATGATTATTATGAAAATAATTTGCTCTCATGTGTAACAATATATATACATGTATATAGCAATAAACCATGATTGGCAAATATACATTACAAACCGAACTTACGACTCATCATTTCAGTCTAATACAAGCCAATATAACCTGTTAAGTATATAATACACAGAGATAGAAAATAGACAGCATTATTATATTAGCGGTCTTCCTTAAAGGTTGAGGTGCATAAAAGTACAAGGATATAATAAAGATTTTAACATTGAACACAACTTTATATAATATAATTATCTATAATATAATTCTTTTTATGATCGTTTAAACGCGGAGACGGTAATTATGGAAGCGCAGATTGTATAGACTACGGAATAAAACCTTGGAAAGACAGAAGGACAAATATTATCAGTAATTATATCCTCAATTCGCTCCTTGGAGTACATTTGGTATATACAATAACATATCGTAATACAAAGACAACTAAATATGTAAAATTATATACACCTTGTAAAGTAAAGTATAACATTCAGAAATTAGTTTTCAAATACCATATATTATGTAAAGATATATTTGATCGTAAGTCGTGATTGAAAAAATAACCACACCAGAGTTGATGGCTCTGGGATGTGGATTTCATTTCATCAACTCAAACTCAAATTCCAGTTAGTATCGGGCGAGACAATTAGTATTCTATCAGTTTATAGTTACTTCAGTTCAGCATGTGGATGTATTTACATGTATGTTACATCTCCAGTTAACATATATTTTACATTGTACCATGATATTCAAATAGGTCTGTTTTAGGGGTATGACTCACTCTCATAGCTAAAACATAAACAAGCAAAACCAAAAACAGACAAAGTGTCAAGAAATTAGAATTTGAGTAAAAGTTTGCGTCTGTGCCCGCTTCATTAAACAAAATATGCTTTTAATGGTGGAAGGTAAATTGATTGTACATTGTGTAGATTGCAATCTTCATAGTATCCACCATTATTTCAACCATGCCAATATATGGTGGAAACGTATTATACAAAGCACAATCACAGTGTTATCTTGTGTCCACCTTGTTCAAATCCATGTATTCACAATCTTAATATTGAAATGATTGTATACATCGTCAAAGTTGACAATGGTTACTCTATTCTGTTTCAATTATGTTGTCAGACTTAAAATTCATAATGAAATCAAGAATTAAAAGTCGTTAACTACCACATAAATATGTTAATCCAAGATTTAATCCATAACCACGGATCAGAACTGACGAAACTCGCTTAAACATTTCGTATCATTCTCGCCTCACATTGTTACGAAAGTAAACCACACTTATTATTCTTTTAATTTAGTTATTTTCTGCGTTCAAAGTTAGCTTCTAGCATCTTCCTTATGGATTTTACTTGAGTTGGATGTTGTCGACTAATCCATTCTTCTGCGCGTGTGATGCAATCCCCATGAGCCATACCTTTACCCCCATGAGACTGGAGAGGGCGGGGTAGAGGGATGCTGTCCATTTGTGATAGAACCTCCCTCAGATAGAGAATGAGGAGGAGGGTAAGTAGGATGGAATGGAGATCCCGACGAATGTGGGATGGTACTGGGAGCTTGCCTATGTGAGTTGAGAAGAAGGAAAATATGAGTGAAAATCTAACGTTCAGGTGGCGTGAAATTCCGTAATTTAAATAAATCCTTCGGCGATTTTAAAACAAATATTTTTAAAACTTTTTACTCGCATTCCATCTATGCTGGATGCCATGAATTTGCAGGCTACCCATTGAAACACGTAAATCTATCAATGTTGAATTAATTCTAACTTTCATGAAATTCCATCGATTCTATCCATCCATTCTATTCTATTTTTCATTGATATCGTGTAAAAGCTTAGTTGAACGATAATTTTTAGTCAAGTTCTACAGAGCCTGAAATGTGATTATATTTAATACCAAATGTGTTTTGTTAGGGTTTGTTAGTCGTCTTTTCATTGGCAGATTTTTATAACTACTTACAACAATACGTATATATCTCCTGGAAATCCATGACGAACAAGTCATCTACCATGTGTTCATGATCCTTCCATGTCCAGATACCATTCTGCAATAATCAATAACATTCATCAAAAGGCTGACCCATTTTGTAATTATAAAAAAAAAGTACTGGCGAGCTTCCGAAGTGTCGAAGCTATCAATTAAGCAACAATTTAATAAGATGTTGGAAAAAGGGGGATCGAGCTTTTAAACGAAGAAGACATGACAAAAATGCGACAGGTTGTATCTTTAAAGCGCTTAGGCACTTCGTTGTATCGATGTATCGGGTGCTATTATAAAAGCGGAATATTATTATTATTATTATTATTATTATTATCTTCAAAATGACCTCAGAAACATAGGTGGAAAGAGTACAAGAAATATAGAAGAAAGAAGATCGGAATTCCAGGATTAGAAGTTGTTGCTCTCGTTGGAATGATTATAAAGTCTGTGTCAAAGACTGATCATGATTATGTACACATTTCCTAGCCATCATATTATATTTAATGGTTTTAACCACAATCTGCACTGAATTTCCTATCTAGTAATAATTGAGCAATTTGATCTCCATTTAAAAAGAGTTATGGTAACAATTTCATCAGGGATATTATGGATACCACATCGTAAATAAACGAACAACACTTACCTTATCTTGTTCTGATATCACGCGGTTGATTTCTGACATATTCCTCTTCGACTCTTTAATCTTGATCGGTGATCTTAACTCCTCCATAGGGTGCTGTTCCTCATCATCTTCCCATATGTCACTCTCACTTGATACATCGTCATCGTCCCCTATTACTCTTCTTAAAAAAATTGAACCGAGCATAATATCATCTGCTTCAGCCATTCCGGAACGCGGTAAACTAGAATAGATGTGCATCGGCGCACCTCCGGGTGGTGGTGGCGGTGTTGCTATTGCTCTTGCACTTGAAAACGAACCGAGCATGAGGTGGTTATCTGCGTCAGCCATTCGGATACGCCGTAAAGAAGAAAGGACGGGCATTAGTGGCGGTGGCGGTGGCGGTGGTGGTGGCGGTGGTGCAGCTCCGGGTGGTGGTGGTGCAGCGCCTGGTGGTGGTGATGGCGGTGGTGCAGCTCCGGGTGGTGATGGTGGTGCAGCGCCTGGTGGTAGTGGTGGCAGTGGTGGGTAAGGTGCTGGTATCTTCTCATCACCTTCTTCTATCTCATAATAATCCTCAAGCGCTTCTGCCAGCATTCCATCACCTGCACCCCTTTCCATCATGAAGCGTGCACTTATTTTTCTTTCCTCAGTTAGCATTGAACGTCTACTTGTGGCAGACATGCCATATGACCTTGATGGGTCGCGTGCTACTGCTCTCGGGCCCCGCGATTTTTGTTTACTTCTGATGCTTAAACTCTTGCCGCGCCTTGTTTCCTTTGCTGCTTCTTGCTTTTCTTTTTTGTCTTTTCCCCTCATCCAACCAAACAATGCACTCATCGGTGATTTCTTTTTCATGACTTTGGCAGATCTACTGAAAGATTCGGCCGACGCTTCGATGGACATTGATCTTTGTTCGAGATGGTCAAGGGTGTCTTGCCTGGATGGATCCAGTAATTCCTCTATTGTCACAGCAAGTTTAGCCCGCATTTGTTCTAAGGATCTCTCTTTTTCAGGTTCACTCGACATGCTTAAAGCACCATGAGATGGGGTTGTGTCAGCACGTGCGGCCTCCATCCTCTTCTTTTTCTTCTTCTTCCCCTTGTTTTGCCCTACTGACTCGTATTTTACTGCTTTTCCACTATCCGTTTTGGCTTCAGGTTTCCACATGCTGCTAGTTGGATGGATAAATGTTGTATCTGTGTGAATTATATAATATTCATAATGAATTTTGAGTTCACCATGTTTACAACCTTTACAGAGAGGTGACACAAACTTAAAACATGTCAATTTTGATTGTAATTTTGAATAACATACTATTGTTTAAGCTATTAATTCTTATAGAATACGTTGATTTTGTGTTGATTTGGCAATCACTGGTCGCACAACAGTTCATCTTGAATAAGACCTAATAAAAGGAATTTCAAGTTTATTATGAATTGTATGTACTGCATTCGCAGCGAACACATTTCAAACGTATAAATGAGTGCTGGTAAAAAGGAATATTTTGATAATATGTTCTTGAATATAAGCTTGCTTTAATTCCCATAAACATGATAGAACAATATGTCTTGATCATGATATTTTTTTTAAAGTATAAAAGGCGCAAGAAGAGAAACCACTCAAGTTGAACCTACCACGAGGCAGAGGTTGTTCTGTTTCAGGTTTGCCTTCACGAATCATGCCATGGAGTCTGGAAGCAAAAAAGGCACGACAAGTTGATCAGTTAAAACGAAAATCGGGAACAGTGAAATTATACCTTACAGTAGGTTTATACTGATGTTTGTGTTGAAATACCAATTATTACGCATTCTGTGTGGGCATGTGTACTGCATAAGATCCCGGTTATAATATTTTCCCCGTATCCCCCCCCCCCTTTCGTCTTATATGAAAGTTTGAGACCCTAGAGCAATAGCTAACCCTAAACCTACCGTAAAGCTCAACTTAGAACCCAGTCCAAACCAAAGAATTAATGCAAAAGATGGATCCCCGCGTCTTCACACCACTCGGAAGCTTTCCTCAATCGAAGTTACTGTGTTCTTATTGGAGCAATGTTAGAAGAATATTTTTGTTGAATAAAAGACTTGGTGATGGTTGACTAACTAAATGGCAACTTTCTTTCGAAAAGGGGATGCTTACAATTCAGAAAAGTTTAGGGCAGTTGTATCCAGCGGTCTCATTTCTTTCTTCTCCTCCTCATCTTCTTCTTCCAGATCCTGTTCAGTTACTATCAATAATGATAAAAGAATACTACTCAACATTTTGTAGTAAAATACCGAGTCTACTTGTTTCAGAGAAATACATCTTGAACAAAGGATTTTCATATGTTAAAAATAGACACTGCACATACACAAAGAACATGAAAACTCAGTTATATATCCGTTGTTTATTCAAGTATATATATATTTATCACAAAATTAGAATGATATGAGTTTGTTAAACTTCAATTAAGAAGAGCCAGTGTTTTATCATGAATTATTATTGAATTCTTACCAGTAAGAGCAGGTTGAATCCATTGCAATGCCTTCTCTGCATCACCTTTGACCCGCACTGTGAACTTTGACATTTCCAAGCAACACTGTGAGGAAGAGGGGGACAAAGAGACAGAAATATAAAGAGAAAGGGAGAGAGGGAGAAAGAGAGAGAGAGAGAGAGAGTTAGGATGAGGGTGGGTGGGAGAAGCGGGGTTATGAAGACAAAGATAGTGATTGGCAAAACACATTATTTCTCTGATGGAAGGTGGGATTTTGTTCGATGTTTTCAAAGCAGCCAATGTCAAACGTTTTTCGGTAGATGAGAGTGAGGATTTGGGAATAATTAGTTTATATTTGTCAGCCGATGAGAGATTGATGTAGACCATGATGAAATTATGTTTACATGTAAATAGATTGATACTACTGTCACAATAAATGTATTTTTACACCCATTCGGCCACAACAATCTCTCTCTCTCTCTCTCTCTCCATATATATATTACAAAAGTGACCAATCAGGATTATCTTACTGTCCGAAAGAGGCTTTGCATGTTTGACATGTTTTCTTTAGCCATGTTGAAGGCGCTGTTGTAGTACTTCTCGGCTGACGAGTAGGAGAAATTTGACTGAGCAACTTTTGCCTGCCTGAGGATTCTTGCCACAATGCTCTCCGCAGGACCCTGAAACGGACGATTAAAAAAAAGCTGGAAATGATAATGTTCTTTTAACTTCAAAGAAATTACTTCGACATGTAGAAGTATTTAGAGAGATACTCTTTTCAGCAATGAATACGTCTCGGGAAGCACAGCTATGTCTTTTGATTCTTGCAAAACTCTTTCCAATCTGTGGTTTGAAACACAATCGGGATTCGAGCAAATTGTGGCGCACGAGATGCACTAATCATTATAAGCTGAGCAGGAATATAAAAACTTGTGTCTCAAAAAGGGAAATAATCTTTTTAGGCAAACTATTGGAAGGTTTCTAAAGAGGATCGTACACAATTACACAATGAAAGATGTATCTGATATCGATATTTATACCAAGACTAATCTTATCAATGACTTGAACGTATATATGAATACCGAGACTAAACTCACGTTTTAGCTTTTTGTTGACACTTTGGTTTTGTCCAAAAACAGAATCACAAAGACTATCGAAAAATTAAATTTAGAAATTGAAAAAGCATTAACGAACATAACGAAGACGCATTACGTAATCCGAACTTGATAGGTATGACAATAGGGTATGAAATATGGCCTATTAAAATGGATTTGTTCAGACTTCGCAATCGTGTTCTGACATTGTCCACACTCTAAATTATCACGTATAAAATATCACCTCTCGTTCCAACACAACTTCACTCCAATGCAAAGACTCGAGATCATCGCGTGTGATCATAGATAGTAACTTGTCAACGTCAGGTGAGAAGGTATCCAGTTGAGTTTCCTATAGGAAACAATGAGAATTATGCAAATATTATTGTCTTGATGGTGATTGTATTAAGAATGGATTATTTATTCGACGGTGAACAGCTACTGTCAAACCTTAATGATTGCGAGACCACAAAGCTAACAAATTTAATGGTTCCTTTTGTTGTCTATTTGTCTGTGCATGCAAGAAAACCTCACAGATATCCTTGTTTGTTAAGACATTGGTATACATATTAACTTTAAGATGACATTGCTACAAACTTAAAGTTTTAGATTTTGACAGAATTGTGATTTGATGTTACCTTGCAAACGTGATATGAAATAACGAGCGAATTCACCATTATGCAATGTGTTTTCTTGTTACAACTAACTTACCTTATCCCGTTTTTCGATCGCTATAAAGCTTGTGAGAGGTGTGATGATTGACAACCGGATACTGAGGTCAGTAAGATAATTCTTGAGGTCATACTTCCGGGTCTCATGAAAGACATGATCTCGATGAAATGATCCAATGTCATAATCACGAACGAGAGCTCTCCCTACTAGACGATGGAGAGTCTGAAAAGGGAAAATTAATTATTGCAACGAGAGGGAAATAAAAACAATATTAAGTCTTCACAATATAATGTTAAATATACGAGAACGTAACTAAATACTTATATGACAAAGGAATTGTTCTAAATATCTTTGATTGATACACTTCTGTAAAAAAAACAATTTACACACGCGCCTGAATATGTTGCCATGATTGTCCGTGGGGAAAAAATGTTGAAATTTGTTTAAATATGAATAAACAGTCGTGATTCAATTTTTTTATCGAAAAGTGTATGAACCTGCAGTACTCTAACTTACCAAAGAAGATCCATCAAACTCGATGGGCGTTTTGAGTGATTCTTCTAAGCGTTGTCCAGCTATCTCCACAGTGAGTTGAACCTTTATTAAACAAAATATGCGCAAAAATCACTTATTGTTGATGATATATATTTTTGAAAATATAACAAATCTTTTTTATGTGTCTCAAGAGATAATACAATTTTTTACAAGAGCTAGAATGTTTCGGATCGTAAGTTAGTTGTTGCCGGTTGAGGCGACCAAACAACAAGAGCAACACAAGGAAATTTTGATAAGTGTTTCAGTGGTGGCACAGAATGATAAAACAATTAGTAGGCTGTAAACACCTGACAGAAAAAGAGATAACACACTCCCACACACATACAAGAGTTTACCTCTTTGACCTTTGGTCCAAGTGAGAAGAGGAGAACCTTGGATCCAGTAAAGACGGATGATGTCTGAGCTGGTACCTGGATCAGGTCCTTGGTTTCTGATCTGTGGTCCGCATTCTCCTCTGTCTGCCATGTTGCCTTCACACAACTCACAGACGGCTGGCGGCAACGGTCAATTTGGGCAGCGATCTTTAAAATGGGAGTCAATTTCGGTTACAAAAAGATAATCAAAATTAGAAGTAACAAATTCAGGTCTGATAAGTAATATAATGTGACAGTTACTTGTTATCACACATTTCCAAGATTTCAGTCACCAATAATAAATAATAGCCTACTTATTTCCGAATGATATTAAGTTATTGACCGTTATTTCATCATTGTCTTTAACATTGACCTCAAATTATCAAATTCATAAGAATACCTTTCCTTCCCACTTCGATTTTGTCTTTGGACTGAAGGACTCGAAGGCACCTCCACTGACATCAGCCAAGGCACGAAGTATGTGGCGATTCCCAGCAGAGCTGAAACAATAATTGGATAAAGAAAAATGTGGTATTAGAAAAAACAAATATCCTGACGTTATGGACACAATTATAACTGTCTTTATTAATTATTTTAATTCAAATTTATTTGCATGGATACTTTTTAGTTAATGGAATTCTTTAGAATTGTTGATCAATCAGGGATCAAAACTGTAATTTCTGTCTGGAATTATTCACTCTTGTAAATCAACAATAGTGTCATTACACTTTTTATTTTTATGTTTGACAAATTCAGATATAGATTGCAATGATCATCGAATAATTACCTAACAGCGCACGTGAATATTCTGTTAACGTGCTTATACTTGGAGGCAATTTCCAAAGTGAGTTTCTCGTTGGTGAGATGACCGTCGGATACAAGGAGAACGTTTCGCGCCGAATTCATCATGGGTAGAAGCGAGAGTGACCGGAGAGGGCGCCACGCTTCTGAGCTACCGCCAACTGATCTGGCACCTTCGATGAACTCTAAGGCTTCAAGAAGCTGACGTTGGCCGACAGGTTCAACGGTCGGAAAGAGTTCGGTGAAATCTATGTGCAAAAACCACGGACAAAAACAGTTTCATTTTTGTTTAAACGTTCGAGACTATTCTGAGGAAGCAACAATTAGCTGATGAATCATCACGATAGTTCAATGCAACTAACCTGTGCCGAAGGTGATGACATTGAAACGGCTTTTCTCTGGTAATGACTGAAGAATCATTTTGCAAATCTTTTTCGCATCCTGTTTAGGCTCTCCTTTCATTGAAGTCGAGCAGTCCAACAAGAGAACTACTTCAGGATCAGCGATCAATTCGGACTGGATTGTCGGGTAGAAGACCGCCATACTAGCCTTTGGAATATAGAGTATATGATATCATATTATTACGTTTTCTTCAAATTCTTTAGCTTCCTTTTGTCCAAATTACAAGCCTTTTGGTTATTTTGGGGTTTCTAATGAACAACGTAGATAACATTTTGCAGCTTTTAAAACGTGGAACGATTTGATGAGAGCTTGTCATAAATCGTTAGTTGCGGAGATATTATTTTCTTTTTTTTTCGGTTTCCATAACATTGACCGCACAGCTCTGAACCATTTCCGACCAAAAAGCAGGCAAGTATTAACAAAGAGAAAATTGTAAAAATCTATCAGTCCAGCGACAAAAATAACATGCAATACTTTATTATTACGAAGTTCCGTTATAATAACTTACATATGATTCACATGACGGATCAAACTCGGTCCAGAACCTTGGTGTGTTAGGATGGATAATGCTAATGAGCAGCTGGAAACCATCACCGAGTTGGACTCTATCCCCCAAAGTAACGGTAGCCTTCATCTCCTTCCGCTATCAAATTAGAACAGTGAATCAAACATTATTAATTGATGAATAATTAATGAATAAAGTGTTGGTTGTCTTTGGCTCTCCACCCATATAAACGGGCGACACCAATAGAGAAAAGAAAAGAGATGTTTTCAGCTTTACGTTGGAAAAAAAATTACAACTCGATACGAAAGTGTGACTTGAGGATTCTGGAATGTACTGTTGGTTTGAAGGTGTAAAACATGTGGAAAAGGACTCATCCACTCCCATGATTGACACCCACTCTGCTATGAACTTTCTATGAACTTGCTATGAACTTTCTATGAACTTGCTATGAACTATAGCCTTTCTTGTCAAAATCTTCTTAGAGTATCATTTATTAAAACGATCCGGGTCTTATGCTTCATAAGCTTTGGGAACTGCATTTATTACTAGTATGGTAAAGAAACTGTTTGTAATGCTCGCACTTTGTATTACAATTGCTGTTTGCTTTAACCTACACGAGCTTGGCTCCTAAATGAAAGGCTGATGGTCTACGAAACGTGGTGGAGAAGTGACTAAATGTAGTCCTACCTTTACTTTGATCACATGAGTCGGTGATTCAACTAATGAGATATTTGATAGCATCTCCATGGTTATCTGAAGAGACTCCTTCCTTTAAAACGAACGAAAATTAAAAAAGGTATTTCACAAGGAAGACATTATTATTAGACAAGGTTAAATAAGGTTTTATATTCCTCTATGCGACCCATACCTAACAATGAACTTCATCGCCTATTAAGTTAGATTGTTTGTGGGAGAAAATATAACCCTCTTATAACGCAGACAACTACGTCCGGACATCGACCCTAAGACAACAGTACTATCCCCATTCTCCGGGACAAGTACTTCTGAACAACTTCACCAGACCAGTGGGTAGCTGATAATCACTTTATTGTTGTGTGGTTTTGTAAAAGGGGTAAAGAGGTAATTATCCGGGGGGTAAGATCGAGTCTGGGGCGGTAATCTAGGGTAAAGAGAAAAAAAGTGGAAGATAGAGCAGGAATTGATGACATAGTGGTCATCAATGACACTCAGTCTCAATTTTCCAAAAATAGAAAATCCCTATTCAAACTTCAGTAGAAAACTAACCTCCAATTGAAATAATTTCCTTAAATAAAAAATAAAATATAGATTCAGTTTTGAAGCGTTAAATATCAATCCAAATACATTATTTTTCTTGATGATTGATAATAATTATTCATTAGGATGTGTATAGTCTTACCTTTCGGTCTCATTTGATGCAACTCCCGTCAATGCCTGAGTTTCCTCTGTAAGCTTTGTACCGCGAATTTCTTCTTGTAACCAAGGAGCAACGCTTCCCAGAAGATAGAAAGCCATCTTGCCCCCCTCCTCTTCTGCCAATTCAGTGACGTATGTTATCTTGATGACCACTCTTGCACGAGGAGGGAGATTGCCGATGCTCACCGAAAACACGTTCTTGATGGAAATAAACAAAATTATGAATAATTTTCAGTCCGCGATCAATAACAATGTCAGGCGGATCATTAAAAGTGGGAAAATATGCCGACTGTAATTCCTAAAAAGTCTCAGTCTTTTGGCTCTTTCGGCAGTGCCTTTGGAAGGAGAGGAGGATAAAAACTCTCCAGAAACTCTCATTAGGCCGGTCAGGAGGGGGAGGGAAGGGGGAGGGGAGGTGGGACAAAATGTTTTCTTTATGTTAAATTCTTCATGGGGAGGGGGTGCTGTTGCCGATTTTTAACGGCGATTAAGCATAGCAGGTAACTGATTACTATAAATACATACGGAAGCTTCTTCTTGCATCAGGTAGGCTCCATGACCCTCTCGTACAGCCTCCTGATATTCTTTCTGTGCTATCTCTTTGGTCTTCACCGTACCCACTACATGTTTGTCGTTGATGAATGCTTCAAAGCCACATACAGCTGCCTTCTCGTCCAAAGGAAACACGTAGCGAGCTTCTCGAATGTTCGTCTCTGAAATCTGGCTCTGGTAAACTTGTAGAACTGTGATCTATAACCAAGGAATGGGGAAAATGTAATTCTAGTCATGGATTAGCCAAAATTACGTTTTAATAGTATTGTTTTTTCTCCTAGGGTTCTGTAATGAGAACCTACAAACTTCTTATTATACCGGTATCTTTAAAAACTTGAACAACTTTAGAACATAAGTGAAAAGATGATGGATAAATATTTCAAATGGTGTACTAAATGAAAGACATTCTGATTGAAGCCAGTGGCGGCTATAGGAAATGGTACATAAGTGTGAGGCATATTGAAGTTTTGCAATCAGCAATGATTCAGGTTGCTTCAAAAGGGGTGGGGTGGGAGACGTAGGCCTACTCCGATGTCATCTTATGCTACATATATTCTAGTGGATAGTACTTGCAACGGACACCCGAGTAGCTTCATGAGGAAAACACTGTTTGGATCATTATCCAGTTTTTGTCTGGATACTGACCATATTATAACCGCCGTTCGTCCAGTCTAATTTGTTTCTTTAGGGGTACAGCAATATGATTCTGGTGAATTTTTGTGAAGCATCTTGTCATATAAGTATGTCATACCTTCGCTGCAAGATCAGTGATGTGGCCTCTGACATGAACTTCTTCAAGTATGACGCCCTCTCTGCTGTTGGCTACAACTAGACCTGCGGCTGTCCTGCTGACAGGGTCCTGACAGCACTGTACGTCGGCCAGATCTAGGAATTAAGGATAACACCGTATCAAACTAAAACGTTATTTAAATTCAGCTCTAACTGGAAGAAACTACATGATGCTATACCCAATTTAATATGTGGACGTTATTTTAAAACTGTTAACACATCAATAAAAAAGAGATTAGGAATAACGGGGCGGATACATCGTTACTTTTTATAGACAGATACAGATTTACAAACCCTGTTCGAAAGAAAAAAAATCGGTTGAGTCATGGGACATACTCAGCAGTTGAATAATCCCTTTTTTCGCACAAAGGAAGTGTATTTTTTAAATGAATGTTTAAAAATACTAAAACCCGTTAAGTAGCCTTTGATTTTGTAAATCATTTATCACTCTTTGGCCGACGTGGTTATAGAAGAACAGTTTATGCACAAAATAATATGCAGGTAATACAAATGAAAATAAATAGAATATCTACTATAACAGACGAATACGAACCAATTTTGTCGGAGGTTTCTTTTGTTTCTCCTACGTTGCCCACCACGTCATCTTCGTCGTCATCCTCCTCATCATAGGCGTAGCCATCGACCACATCATCATCGCCATCAATGCTGAACTCGACGAGATAACGAATGCATTGTTGCTTGGTCGAATAAACAACAAATTCGTCTTCCTAGGTACGAAAATACACATTGTGGACAAAATCATTTTTACATCATTTGGTCGACCTATTGAGATGTTTATTAAAAATACATTGTCCTATATACCCTCCCGAAGAACAATGAGCGTTATTAAATGAAATAGAATCGAGTGGTTCCCCTTTCTCCTTCGAAGTCCAAGAAACATAATATCTTTAAAAAAATGCAATGGAGCTCACATTTTAACACCCCCTCCCCCTCGGGGGGGGGGGGGGGAAGGATCGATCCGCCCTATTTATCAATTTCTCTATGCAAAAATGTCCCATATGTCAAGTTATTAATCTTCGTAATAATTAATATATGTTTCTACTATCACAAAATAAAACGAAGAAAATCGTAAAGGCACTAACCTTGAACTCTGAAGGCTTGTTTTCTGAAGCACGAACACCATGTGTGCTCTCGAAGCCTTCGGGTGCCTGTTGCATCTTTGTGTTGAATTCATAGTAGTCTTGAGTGGATCCGAGAGCGACCCTGATGACAAGCATCATCCTCGTCTGAGAGAAGTATCCGTTCTTTGTGTACTGAATGCATGTGCTATAGTAGTGAGATGATATATGATTATAGTATGATGAAACCCAGCTTAACGTCTTTATATGTTTCAATTTGTTCATTGAAAATACATTTATGTATATCTATTTTAAATGTAATATGTACAGTGCTTCTGCAAGGTGGTGTGATGAGACTGGTGTGGGAAACTTAAGATGATCAAGCATGAGCGTCTGGATCTGCATTGTTTGTGAATATACTTAAGCAGCACGTCTATACATTAAGTCTTATATCATTCATTGTATAGTATACATAGTCCTGCACATAATGCAAACATGTCTTTAACAAGAGCTTCATCAGATGTGTTTTGTCTTTGAATCCCACTACCTTGTCTAAAACTATTTCAGAATACTTCATTTTCTCGATGTTATCAGATGATGAAGTGAATTATTGTCACATATCAACACGATCAGTAATATATAGTTATAAATAACTACCTTGTTCGATCACCAAAGTATAGACCTGGACCAAGTAGCCCCTCGTCACGGCGTTGTCCGTTAAACATTTCCACCACAACCTTGGGCATTAGGAGACCCCTTGTAGGGATAAAACAAATTTATACAAGCGGAAAACATTGTGTGAAACATATTTTACACACCCTTTTGACATGCATTTGTATCAGAGTTGTAAATGCCACGTCTCAACTAAATAATGTCTGGGAAATTTTAATATGTTTTCACCCAATTCCTTTTTTTGTTGGCTGGTACCTTTAGTTATTTTGTTTGAAAGGTCAGAAATTTAGGAAACCCACGACTTTTTTGTTTTGGTTTATTATGTCGGCAAATTTGATCAGACAAATTAAAACCTGCCCTTCCCTGCTTTTTCAGAATGTTTTTCTTTCTTCAGCACAGTCTTTGTAAACATGATAAGTCATAATATACTTTCACCTGTCCCTTGCGTTCTCATTGTGACACTTCTTCCCTGATACATTATCTTACCCCTTCCAATCATGGTCCCAACCATTTCATCCCTCTTCCCAAAACCCCCATTTTAAAGGAGTTTATTGTATATAATACTAAAAAATGTTTTGCTTGGCTTAGCAATGTTCAAAATGAGCCCTCTCCGTTAGAAGGACCCCTTCCTTGGCATCTTAATTCGTTGCCCCCCCCCCCTCATTCACTACACCCCTACATTCCAATACCCCTCTCCACCCTACACCGTCTCCGCCTCGACATTCTCTTCAATCCTAGCCCCTCTTCATCCCTACCCTTTCTCCCCAATTCTAATGATTTAATATCTGGACAGTATACCAAGTAAATTGTTTGCTTTGTAGCATGAAAGAGCAATATTGGCCCATCATTGATAAAGTCATGACGGCTACCCTCTTCGTCACATAAACCCATTCCTTGACATTTGTTACCCCTTCACATTCAACCATTAACTCCCTGATTATACTGCACCCCTCCCCATTCAACTCCCGCTCTACCCAACTAAAATGAGTTAATACCTGGATAAGATCCCAAGTACGTTGTTCGGCTTGGTGGCGTGAAAGAGTAGTGTATCATTGCCAATGTCGTGAAGGTAACCCTCTTCGTCAGGGGGTCTACTAACTGCGTAGATCCGGAAGGTGTTTACTTTCATCTCACTTTAAAAAAAAACAGAAAGGGAATGAAACGAAAAACAAAAAACAATTTTAGAAAATAAGACAGAGATTCCGTTCATCACACACTCATTAAAACGAGATGGAAAGATCGCCACAATTATGGCGAAATGATTATAACAGTGGCGTCTCGTTGCATGGGCAAGTCATAGAGTTGTGGTTGAGTCGGGGAGTGTCCTTGCCTAAGAAAGACGTTTAAATGCAAGGGAGCAGAGGAGAGACTTTGGGAAGATTTGTTATTCTCCTTCATCAGTCGTTTGAAACAGACCACTTGATCAAGCATCGACGAAAAACTTCCTAAGGCTTATAAATTTTCATCTTGTCCAAATTCTTTTTTCCCAAAGATGATGCTAATCATTCATTTAATTGGAGTAAACCCGAACTTACTTCACGAAGTGAACATTAGTTATGAACCTATATCCGACTATGATGATGACATACTTAGACATAGTTGATTGGACTAGTCTTTTGATCTTCTCATACTCTGGATGATCGAGTGGTAGATGTTGGATGTAACATCGTAGAGCTCTGTACTTGGCTTCAGGTGTGGGTCGTTTCTGCCATCCCGTCTCCTCGCTGATGTATACTGCATCTCGAATCATCTACTCAAAACAGGGATTGGATAAAGATAAAAGAAGGTAAAGGATGCAGATAGAGCGGGGGGAAATGGGATGGGAAAGAGAAGGATGGTTGGTTTGAAGATTGAGGAAAAAAAGGAGAAGGAGGAGGAATATACGAATATTATCAAGGTTATATTAATCTATAGAATCATTTTGGTTCATGAATTGTCTTGTATTTAAATGTTTCATACCTCGTTTGCTAGTCAAGTATACCTTCTCTCATTTGATAAATGGAGATTCCGTAGGCTGGTGGTTCTTTCACTTAACTCTCAATCCTAGGGTTGAGGGTTTAAATCCCTGCCAGGTACTATATTTGATAAGACATTAATCTACATTTGCTACACTCCACCCAGGTGTAAATCTTTTCCTGGCAATGATGGGGTAACACTAATTGCAGGGCCTGCAGGAGGAGCCGTATTGATATTCATGGGGCTACCCTGGGTGAATATGAACCAATCATTAGTATCATTTATCTTCAAATTCAGAGGCACTTATCAATATCGAGGGGTATATCACGACCCCTTTGAATTGCCCCAAATTTTTATTTTGATAAGAGTACGATTTTCTTTTTCAAGAGCAAGCAATTACGTTGATTGGTTTTATTTTATTGTTCCTCAGATACAAATGAAAGACAAAACCAGAAATATTCTTTTAAAACAATGAGCCGATCAATATTTACAACATCCCGCTATTCTTACCTGACATAGGTCTAGCTTTGTTGCGACTTTGCTCAACAGCCTGATCGGAGATTGCATGTAATCGTGATGAGGAATGAGGGCGTAAAACTCTTCCTGAAGAGTCTCTATTTCAGCATCCGATATTTCGTCGTCGTATTCATCATATTCGTCATATTCGTCACCTTGATGTTTGCTTTTCCTCTTCTGTAAGATATTCCACATCTGATAAAGAACAGCTTCTGCCTTTGCAACCTGACAAAATAATTCAATTTGGAAACGTCTCCTTATTTTTGATATCGGCAAAGTAATTATTTCGATTTGATAGAAAATGTTGACATCGGTTACATTGCTTGGTAAATATGTATTATTCTCTGATTTTGTGAGCTTCAAAAGTGAATGGGCATAATTTAAAACGTACTAGATTACTTTAAGGTCGAATCATTAGAAATTAGATTATTTTACTATATATTTTTCTTTCATACAATGTACATGGATGATGAGTTTAATTATTCCACTGGCTAACCAATTAAGCTGACGATCGTAACTCTCAATTTAAGTGACATTTTCCTTAGCAAAGTAATGTATTCTTTCGCACATTTGATGATTTCTCAATAGTTCAGATATGGATTCCATCCACGGTATAATTCATGTAGAGGATTCGTCAGAAATAATGGAAGAGGTTGAGGTGTGTCACCCCTATTTAAACTTTTTGGGGGTTTAAGAATTCAAGAACCTTTATAGGCCCATGTGTATTCTTTCCATGCACTTATCGACACATACTTGTCCAGGAAGAATTGATGCCACAGGGACCGCTAGATGTTCTTTGAGTTTCCCCATCGCTTCCTTCCAAACATTGTCCACCAATTTGGCCACCTCTGGTGATAAACCCTGTGTAGGTGAGTAGGTTTCTCGGTACAGAAGGGTCTGGAAAGGAGAAGAAATAAGTATGAAAAAACAAACTATAATTATGTAGTATGATCTAAAATACGTCAAATATTATGTCTCGGACTCTTGTAATTTGCAGGCTAGCATTTGTTTTACTTATTCCTATGTCGTGATCTTATTTTAATTATTAAAACAAATATTTACAATTTCAAAATTTCACAGGGCTGGATTTGAGCGATATACATTTCCTAGATGTTTAAATTTCATTTCAATGTTCCCACTTCTCTTCATCTACAGATACTAGCTGATACATGTATATACAATCAACTACTTATTTGCTGTTCTTCTTCATCATGTCATAATCATATTCCGTCATCTTTGGTCTTTCCCTTGGAATGGTCAGACACCATCACAGTTCTTGGTCTACCTCTTCCAATTTCGCTTTCCAACTTCTGTTCCTCTACTTCTCTCTGCTTGGACATCGACATCGTTACAATTTCAACCAGCCCTACTCTAGTCATGAAGGATATGTTATTATACCGCTTATACCACTTTCCGGAAACCGACAATAGTTGACGGACATTGGTTATTAACGCTTGTTAATTCTGTAAAACGCATTTCTATGATGGAATGTGCAAGAACTGAGGGACTTATGGCGGTTTTGAGAACCTTTTCAACAATAATAAATCAAGAGTATACCTTTCTCAGTGCTTCTGAACCAATCCATCGCGAGTTATTGACAGATGAGACTGGTGCCATGGATGCCCTACCATCTCCAGATGAAGTGTGTTGCTTGTAAAGATCATCATAGATCTGCAAAGCCTCCTCGGCCGTAGATGCATAGTGGCATTCTCGATCACCGCTCTCTTCATCCTGCATGGTAATTGATTGGATGGCCAAAAAAGATAGATAAATTCTGCTTTTCAATTTAACTCATTTTCTTTTAGTAATTCTCCAAATTATCAAGTCAATGAAAATGTTACATGCTTGCCAAAATCGTCCCTAACCGTGTAAGGTCCGAGCCATTTGCGCTAATTTATGTGCCATGTCTGTTTGGAGTAAATGCAACATGTTACAAAAGGTTGTGGATCAATGAAAACTTTTTTTTATTTCTCCAACTTATCCAAATCTCTTTTTGTACCATATAGTTTACAGAGTATTATTTTGGTCTATTTATGGTTTACTCTTCAATGACTTTGTATGTTAAAGATATAAGGTGGTTGGTAATCTACTCTGGATTCTATCGTCTTTGGAAAAAATGTATCATTTTTAAAACTTTATTGGTAAATCCATAATATCCAATGATATACATGTTGATTTATTGTGATGACAGTCTCAAGTAATTATTATCATGATTAATACCATTAGATATACGTGACTGTCATAAATAGATAATTGAATCATAATGTCCATATTCAAGGTTGATGATTAACACTTTCGGTCATCATCCGAAATCGAAAGAACAAACACAATTGTAACTTTCATGGTTATACTTAAACATACTTTTCAATATTTCCAGTGAATCTATTTTGTTCTGAGTAAAACTAAATTACCGTTGCTGTTCCTGTTGACGTCAAATGGGTCACCACTTTAAAGGGAAAGTCTTTTATTTTAGAAGTTTCATTTCCATCGGTTTGATCACCTGATGTTGATGATGATGATGTCAATTTGGATGGTGTAATGTTTCTTTGTATCTCAACGGAGAAGACACGAGCATTTCCGGGGGCAGCAGCATGCGTTTCCTGAACAGATATATTGAAAACATACAAAACAAAATGATGAACGAAGAAAGCTGTTATTAGTGTTGTCTAGGCAACACACGTTAAATTGAATAATAAAAAACAACTAAAATTTAGAAATGATGTAAAGAATGAAATCAGCGATACCAGCTTTTTGAGTAAAGCTGATCATAATCTACAGAAATGGAGGGCCATGACTAACGATGTATGTAACAGACTTGGCCTTATAGGCCTTAGATGATGATGATGATGTCATATCCATTACTGACAGTTCGTCAGGGGCCAGGGTGCAATGCACTATTTCTTGTATCTAACCGGAAAAGATCTAAGTATTTCCGGGGTTAAAATATTGTGCAATAATAGAGGGAAAGGGTAGGTTTATCGTGCGCTACAAAAAGTATCACTAAAGAACACGAGTGTTGTCTAGGCAACACACGTTGAATTGAAACGGGAAGAACTTTTTTCTTTCTAGTATACATGTAAGTCTATACGAGTTTAGGGATCATGAGGCAAGAGAAAGGATTCGAAAGAATAGACTCGCGTATAGACGTATTGAGCAGACTTGTCATGCGAAACCAGCAGTTTTATATATGAACAGGAAATAAATGAAAAGAAGAAGAATGGCTATATAGGTGACGTAGAAACAGGAAGTATTGGCCGGGGCATGCAGTGGCGGATCCAGGGGGGCGGGGAGCCCTGGGAAAAAAAATGTGTAAAAACAAGTTAATTTTACCTTTTTTTGGAGATGGGCCCCCCCCCCCCCTGGCGCTCAAGGGGGGGGGGGGGGTGTGCAAATATTCAAATTTTCGAGGGCCAAACAAAAAATGTACTCACTACCCACGCCTCCCCCCCCCCCCCCCCCCCACTGAGCGAATTGTCGGCCGGCGCGATTTTCAAATTTTCGGAAGCTAAAAAAAAAAAAAAAATAGTTCTCACTACCCCCCCCCCCCCCGAGCGCATTTTCTGCCGGCGCGATTTTCAAACTTTCGGGAGCAAAAAGAAAAAAAAAATGGGCCCCCACCCCTAAGAAATCCGTCTGGGGGCGTGAACCCCAATGATTGAGAGAGAGAGAGAGAGAGAGAGAGAGGGGGGGGGGGGGGGAGAAAGAGAGAGAGAGAGAGAGAAAGGGGGTGGGGGTGGGGGTGGTGCTCTTGATTTCGTCTGGAAATACATGCACCTTATAAGGGATATCACTTCAATTGCGTCATTATTATATCCAAACTTTACCAAAAAAGAAAACACAAATATGAAGACATAAAATCGAGTGCAGGTTAAAGCAACCATACCATGACGAAACATGACGACCGGGATTAGTTCATCTGCCAACTTCATCCAGGATAATACCTATTGATTTTACCATATCATCCAAAAACCGCAGTTTGCTCAGAAAAAAAACATGATTACCGATCATGATTGATAGTTTCAGGGCTGTTGTAATCTAGTCTGGCTTTTCCGCTGGTATTCTAAGTAACGCTTAGCAATTTGACCCGTTTAAATTAAAGCTGAAACGCCTATGGGTTCAACGCATTATGACAACTTGCTCGATATTGCACTATCATTATTGCCATAAACCTAACCCTTTAAAAAATGTTCTTATAGTTATAGAGTAATTAATATAATTCTTACTTGAAGAACTGCTGCCTTGACCAACTGTTCCTGCACTGGTACGATGACTGGTTCGTCGATCCTATGAAATCGGTAAACGAATATGAGTTTTTTCACCAGAGAATATTATTATGAATAAAATTAATCGATATGACACTTTCATCAATCAGTTTCGTAATTCTAAGAACAGAATAGCCAATCTCCTTACACTTTCTTACATTAGCTTCAGCCGTGTTGGGTTTCTCCTTTCTCATTTCAATGTTAACCATTCACATTTGATTGTTATATTGATGTAATTTTTGTTTGGATAACAAACTTCAAACTCAAACTCAAACTCATGTCTGACTGATGTCTTTAACGTCATTTATTGTTTATAATGATGTTTGTCAAAGTCATAAATCGGAATAATTGCCATTGTAATATTCCTTTCTAACGTAAACCACTGTCTATTTTGTTGATTCAAATTCTTATATCGAAGTACTTTAAGATTCACTTTGTACCACTCCGGCATTTCCAGATCTATCTACTGTAGAAAGAATAATATAATTATTAACTCACCAGGGCATATTTTTGATTGACGTCGCCATGTTGATGGTCTAGTATCGACGTTACACTGCATGACAATGACAGAAGGGGGAAACATGATATAATCTGATCAAGTGCTAAGCCAGGTGTAGTTGCCACAGAGAACGCCCCCCCCCCCTCTCCCTAAATCGCCTACACTTAGCATTACTCATATTATTGATAAGATGATTGCTGTAAAATGATTTATTGTCATCTAGATTCATTCCTACGTCCTTCATTTCTTCGTATATAATTATCTGGAAGCATATTTATTGGTTAAAAAACGAAAGGGAAATATGAAGATACACAATACACGTTATACCAATGCAATATATTATTTGTGTATATTAATGCAATAAGTATCTTTACTTTCATGATGTATTACAGAACATAATTATACAAAACATAGAAAACGTGTTTACATTTTACCACTTTGATCATGATAATACCATTTTTTAAACAGGTTTTTTTCTTCAGTATTGACTTAAAATGTTTAATCCCAGATTGACATTGATATTTACATTGATATTGCACTGCATTTCCATGGATACTTATGTTTGCCGAGTATTACAAGTAGGTTGATATCCTCCTTTAACCGAAATGTTGATTTAACCTCCATGCTAACAATGCATATATTTGCATTATGTTTTACACTACAATATCCGAAAAGAGGAAATTGCCGGTGAAAAAAAGAGAGAACGAGAGAGAGAGAGAGAGAGAGAGAGAGAAAGAGGAGAAGTGTATCTTATATCTTTGCATACTTGTTCCACCAATAGTGGGCCGAAAATCCAAATTTGAAAGAATATGATATATTCAGGTACATTTCTAGTTAAGCTCCGTGATATAGGCCTGAAAGAATAGACCTTGATAGGTGTAATATGGTACCGCAAAGACAATGTCAAAACAAGATTAAATGCTTACCTTTGTCGACAATAGCCATCTAGGCACAGCAGACGACGACCGAACGAAACAATCATACACTGCACAGTGGCCGGTTATAAATTAATGAACCTCGATTCAGATCTAATATTTTCACGAACATATAATATTTCATATCATGCAGGCGAAGAGAAATTGCCCCCTTTCTGCTTGGCGATGTGCTTGATACATTACTGCAGAGACAATAATGAGTACTTTACGTACACATCCGTATGCTTGTGAAATCAGAAACTCTATGTAGGCTACTGTATATAGTCCACGTACAGAAAAGTGCTGGCAACCGAACCATGAACTATAGTAAAGATAAACTTCAGTATCTGACGCGTCATAATTATATCCGGATATGAAATTTTGTACTTTGACTTCTATAGTAATACGGCCTTCGCTCGACTGAGCACGGTCAGAATCATATGGAAACTTTATATTGTAATATATATTGTAACGTATCACTGTATATCATACCAGCAGTTCTTTAGTCTATAGATCAGCGTTTTTCAACCCCCCTTCTGTTTTTAGTCACGGCACCCTTTTTATAGGAGGTATACATAATACGTACGGACATTTTTGCGTTAGGGCCGTGAAGGCCTCTTGCCCGAAAATATGCTATCCGGATCTGAAATATTGCGAGCGACCGCCGAAAAATTGCACTTTTATATTATGGAAAAATGTCAATAATAAACACAGAGGCGGCCCTCCGGGGGGGGGGGCTGGGGGCACAGTGCCCCCACTTTTTAAAGCACCCGAAAAGTGCCCCTTTTTACAAAGGAAGAGTGCCCCTTTAACTTTGTAAGAAGTGCTCCTTTTTACATAGGAATAGTGTCCCTTTTACTTTGTCAAGTGCCCCTATTAATTTGTAAAAGTGCCTCTTCCCCTTTTCAAATCTAAAAAGTGCCCCTTTTATTTGGACACATGCCCTTTTTCTTTCGACAAGTTCCCTCTTTCCTTTGCAATAAGTGTCCGTTTTCCATTCTTATAAGTGCCCCTTTTCAGGTATAAGAAGTGCCTCTTTTCACTTTTGATTATTGCCCCCTTCACCTCTGATAATTGCCCTATTCAAATGAGAGGTGCTACTTGTACTTTGACAAGTACCTCTTTTCCTTTGTAATAAGTGCCCCTTCCCCTTTTAATAACTACCCCCATTTTAACTCGGATAAGCGCACCTTATATTTTCACATGTGCCCCTTTTCCTTTTTAATAAGTGCCCCTTTTCCTAATGATAAATGCCCCATTGAAAAAAGAGCCCATTCCCCCTTCTCATAAGTGCCCCTTCTCCTTTTCACTTTAGATAGGTGCCCCTTTAATCTCCGATAAATGCCCCTTTAAAATCTGATCGGTGCCCATTTTCTTTAAGAGGACTTTTTTTTTTTGTCCCGAAATTTGAAAATTTGACCAATCGGCATTCCGTTCCGTTTGGGGGTGGGGGGGGGGGTAAGGTCATCTTTTTTAGGTCATCCAGAAATAATCTGCCAAAATATAATTTAAAAAAAATCAAAAAATCAAAAATCAAAAATCAAAAATTGAAAGGGGGGGGGGGGGTTTCCCCATAAACATACACATTAAAAAAAATGAAGGGGAGGGGGGGGGGCTAACCCCAACCCCCCCCCCCCCCCTCTGCGTACGCGCCTGATATGGGGATGTTCATGTACTTCGCTGTCTGAAACTCTCCCGTTCCTAAAATTTGAGAGCTGCATCAAAATACCCAGATCTTTTCATTATATTTGGGCATCTTGCAGCCTTTCTAAAGTTGACGTTTATTCCAAAATATACTTTAATATATTGTTTTGAGATTTGGGGTATACGTATTTAACGTTCAATAAAATAATAATAATAATAATACATAATATTTGTAAGGCGCCAAATCCACTTGACAAACAAAAGCTCAAGGCGCAGCTTTGCGGCAAAAGATGAAATACATGTAAAATATATACAAACAAATTAATGTGCAATAGGAAAGGTACATGAAAGGTAATGGTAATCAGTTATAGGCTAAATTAAACAGATACTTCTTCAGATTGTTTTTAACACTTCACCAGAACTGCTATTTGTAATCCATCGAGGGAGAGTATTCCATAATGAAGGCCCAGTACTAATTTGTTGTAACCCTAGGAATAACAAGTAAGCCAGAGTTTTGAGAACGTAGCTGGATGGGTACATAAATAAAGAGGTGGTGAGACTTGTATTTAAGAGTAATATATGGGGGCACGTGCCTCCCTGTGCCCCTCCCCCTTGGACCTGTAGCTACGCAACTGAACTTTGTGGGTGACAATAAGGAGAATAGTAAACAAAAATATCCATCCCAGGCCCATTATAATTTTAGGCCAATAAAAGCCGGAGAGGATAACTTCCGCTTGGGTCATTCTGCGCATGCGTGATTGTAGCCCTAAGAAAAGAAGAACATCAAGATCTCAAATAATTGCTGAAGTTTGAGGTAAAGTATTTGCAAATTTAGTACTTTTTCTTCATTTGAAATAAAGGATATTATTCTCCGATGGATTAAGGACAATTTTGTCAAGTGTGATGAGGGATTAGCCCGTTAATTTCCATCGAAATCCAGCCTGTACGGCATTGGCATTCTATATATTGGCCCACGTCTTCTTATTTGTGTAATGTTACTTTTAAGCCAGGGGCCAGGCGCTTGCTCAGTCTCGGACTCGGTGTGTGGTGTTAGTGTAATTGGGTTACTTTTTATAAACGTGTATCATTGCTTTCATTTTTGTTTCATCAATCTTACATTCTATGTATTGAAATCCATTCAATCATGTCAAGATGAAAAAAAAACTGTAATCTTAAGAATGATTTGTATTGTTTTGGAATGGATAAAAAATTATTGAAATAATAATAAAAAAATCAAAAAAATCAATCAGATATATAATTTTTTGGCGCTAGTCTATTATATCCAGAGTTTGAATCGTAACTCTGGCATGGATATACCCTACTAAAACATACCAAAAAATCAACTAAATCTTCACCAATTGTATAAATAATGGTCATGATTGAAAGTCATTATCTTTCTTGCCCCTTTCGTGTCAATTCTCTTATCTTTTTTGGAGTATTTTCCTAAAAACGAAGACATTATGATATACACTTTCACACAGGTTTCAATACAAACTGCTGCACAATTACAATACAATTGCATGCCATACCGCCGAAGGGTTGCGGGCCGCGCTTGCGTGAAGTTAGCGACTATAATCTCAGATCTTCATTAATTCACATTATGACGATAAAGATCATTATTACGGTCGCTAACTACGCGCATGCGTGCCCGCCTGCACACGTTAATACTTGCACACACGCTCTTTTTTTTGTGTGGATGGGGCACGCCCATGTCATCAGAGTAGATAACCATCACACACACACTGTACAACTTGTCAATACATAATAAGTATAGACCAGTTTTTGAAACGCCCCCCCCCCCTCTCAAAAAATGTAATGAAAGCACTTATTACCAATCATGTAAAAGAATATGTTTTTACTTATTGGCGATGATACAAATTTTGCCGGGAAACCACCTACTAATTGATATATTTGGTAGATTATCATATCGATCCGGCTTGGATAGATATGGCGAATGCACTTCTACATACATTTGGGCATATATTTCTGTTTTTTGTGAATTTAGGTAGACGTATTGCCATCTAAACCTCTGAAGGCAATATTTAACAATATTGAATAGATATTTTGCACCAAAGACCCTTTAACCGCAATTTTACCACTACCGGTCTTTATCTTTAATGGGGATTCTTTAGGGAGAAAGATGAATGGTTGTTGTATTACTAAAGTGCTAAGAAGCTCATCTGTACTTCCAGGTACGTGCACCACCTCGTAGGTATTTTATGGGCAAAATCATTTATACCGTGTACACATGAACACATGTAGTACATATATGCGTTAAGTGGTATTTTTATGACTCGTGCACAAGTTGAAGATTGCCCAAGTCAACTCAAGTCTCATCAAGGTCAACTTAAGTTTACTGTATTTCTCTAGGTAAAAAAAATATCCAATAACTGAATGAGAAATGTCCATCTTTTTTTTACCTGCAACATCAATATTATCATGTCCATTGTTCAAACTCTATACCAAATTTTTGTTCTTCCCCTACAGATCTCAAACCAAGCATACCACATGGCCATTCTCATCTACAAGAAGTTTACTGTTCTTCAAAATATGTTAAAGTAATACAAGCGTCCATGCACTAGTGGTTTTGTTACACACAATAGCCAATTAAAGAAGCCGTCCGTCCAGGACAATGGAACAGGCAAATGAAGTGTTGCAGGTTGTCTCGACTGAACCAGGTAGAGGTGGAGAGGAGAGTAAATGGGATGGAGAAAATAGGGATGAACAATGTGAGACAACCATTCAGCAGTGTCCTTTGGAACGTTCTGAGAACAAAGGCAGTGGAGATCCAGTAAGAATACACTTCAGTCAAGGAAGCACTGGAGATCTACCCAATGAAGATATTCCTGGGAATTTTGTGGTTGATGTTGATGTAGTGGGTACAGGAGTGAAAGAAAAGTTGGTGGATTTGAAAGATCACACTTCTCTGGAACCTGGAGGAGTCATTCCTGATGCTTCAGCAGCTGTCATTACAGCTGAGGCAGATGATTGTAAAACCCATCCTGAGGGGGATACTCCACCGATTTCGACTGCTGAAGAAAAGATGACTTCTGAAGAGACAGAGACTCCAAATCCAGGAAAAGTGTCAACTGAACTTGGAGGCTCAGATATTATGTCCCCTATTGAAGCGGTGGTACCATTGGAGAAAGTCAAGGGAGATTCTATTCCCTTATCAAGTGAGGATCAGGAATCTGAAATATCTGTGCAGGAAAGCATGAAACCTGTGGAAGAGTGCAGAGAATCAGCAACACAAAAAGAGGACAACGTAAAGATAGATTTACAACTCGGTGCGGCACTTGTTACCCATTCAATAGTTCAGGATGTCCAAATTGCCAAGAAAGTTGAGAATGAACCCTGCAGAGAAAGCCCAGGAGTTGTCCAGGTAATTGGTACAATTGAGACAGAAGGAGATGGTGTAATGAATGATGGACAGAGAGTAAAATTACCTGAGACGGTCCCTTCATCATCTCAAGAAGCAGGTACATTTAGTGGAAGCCATGTTGTCCCTACATTTGAAGAGTCTGTACCAGTAGTTGATATGTTGATGAAAACTTCAGATGTTGTCAAAATCAGTGATGATTCAGTGACTAGAGTGAATCCTTCCTTATTCATGGACTCTGTGACATTAAGAGAAAAACAATTTGCAGAAGAGAGTGATAAGGAAAATGCTGTTTGCATCCAAGTGGAAAAGGACATTACTGAAAATGTATGTTCCACAGAAAATATGTTAGCTGTTGCTATGCCATCAGCAGAAGAAGCAGGAAGTGATATGACTGAAAAGCCAGTAGAGGATACCATAACTTCTACAGTTGAAGAAGTTAAACAACATGAAGTAGAGCATAGTCATACAGACCTCTCACAGATATTGGCAGTGGATACAGGTGTTGTGGTTGACACGGCAAGAAATGTTCTCGAAAAAGTATCTTCTGAATCTGTCACAAGTACTTCCACAGGAATAGAATGTAAGTCTAATGCGAGTGATGAGACTGCAATGGAAATAAGCATGGAAACTGATCAAATGAGTGAATGTGCTCCAATGGATATCAGTGACAAGTCTGATGATGACATTGGACAAATGCCAGTGGAATCTCCGACCTGTGAGATGAAACCAAACCAGTCATCAACAGAATTGACCAAAAGTGCAATCCACCAGGTACCGAAATCCATTTGCCCACTGATAGAAGAATCAATGGATGTGACTGAGGAGCCAATGGATCTATCGGAGAGTACAGACCAAATATCCAGCAGTGAAATGTCTCCTGAAGAAACAAGGGCCTTATCTAAAGTTTATTGCATAGCCTCACAAGTGTTGGACAAAGATTCTGAAGTACTTGTATCCCATCATCCCTCAAGTGTAACATCTTCAAATATAGGAAAGGCACAAGAAAGCAACACTAGTATCGAGAAGGTAAGCACGCCCATGGAGGAATCAAGGGAAAACCCTGAAGAAATTGAACAGAAGGGTGTTGCTATGGCTGCAGAAATTCAACAACTTCCTGTGGAATCAACAGGAGAGGTAACTAGTGACGTTCAGACAAATTGTGATGAAAAGAGAATAACATTGCAAGTGTCCGACATGGAAATTGATCATCCTATTCAAACTGAAGATGGTCGACCTGGAAGCAAGAAGCCTTCACAAGAACACCAGGCAAGTTCTTCAGTTCTAACAGCAAGTAAAAGTGATTTTGAAAGCCTGGCAAATGAGGAACAATCTTCAGAAGTGCATGAAGTAGATCAGTCCAGCAAACAAGGACAAGAACAAAATGTTGACCCAGTTCGAGCAACCTCTGATACAGTTGAGCAACATTCCCATGATGGTCAAGAGAAAGACATGTCATTACTTGAGTCAAGCAGTGCAGAGGTCAAAACCCCTTCTTGTGATACAACATCAGTTGAACTTGTATCAACTTTGGAAAATGAACAGCCTTTGCAGAAAGATTTGATTGAAGCTTCTCAAAATCAGGAATGTCAATCTTCAAATACAGACTTAGAAAGAGATATTCCTAAAACTGTGGATGAAAATGAGCCTGTGGATCAGACTTCAGTGAACCCTGCAATCAAGCCATCTGCATTTTCAACAGGACAAACAGAACCATCACATCCTCAATATACAAGTGATCTGGAAGATACAGGAACTGTGCTGGAGAGTTCTGCTGACAATAACAATTTGCTAGAAGAGGCGAAACCATCAAGCACATGCAATTCAGAAAATATGAATAATGAATCAACCAGTATGGAATTAGAACATTTGCAAGATGGTGGTCAACTTCGTGTTGAGGACGGTCGCAGATTAGCTGATGAATATGTTGTGGTTGATAATGTTGGTTCAAGTTCTATGATGGATGAGAATGAAATGGATGTACATGCTGACGGGATGCAAAAGGAAAGGGTAATTGATATATCAGATGGTGAGGAGACTGCAGGATGCAGTCAGAATACTGATCATGTATCTAGTAATGGAAGTGCAAATGCGGAAAACAGTGAAGTGCAAGGAACAGAATACAATGTAATTCAAAATTCTACAGCAGATGTCAATGAGTTGGATGAGGAACAAATCATGCCACAAAGCATTGTGGACAAAGGGGAAAAGCTATCTGAAGGAATTGAGAAGGAAGTTTCCAGGAGTGAGGAGTCTATAACTCCAGCCCATGAGGAGATTACTAGTGGAACGTCCCCAACATCAGATGAAAGTCCAATGGATGGAGACACTGGGGTTAAAGTCAGCAGTAGCTCCGAAGCTAACACAGTCTTAAAGGGAATATGTTCAGAGAAAAACCTTCTAAATGAAGTAGAGGAGGAGGAAAACTGTGCAGTTGCTGATACTCCTGTTACAAGTGAAAGTATTCAAGAGAACATTACATCAAAGGGAAGTTGTACATTGACAGTCATTGAAGAAGATTGTAGTGAAAAGTTATTGGGTAGCAATAAAGCCAGTACATCTCAACAAGAAACTGTGAAAGAGAGTATAACAGAAGAGAGCGACACATCTCCATCAAGAAAGAACATCCCTGCTGATGATTCCTGTGAATCTAGTAAAGAAGTTCTAGTAGAATCATCATCTAAAGAAATTTCTGAAAGTAGCACCCAGAGAGAAACTGAAAGGCCAGAAAATACTTTATTTGAGACTGAATGTGATTCGTCTAAGACTACGGATGAAAGCGATGATAGGTTATCTACTGAACATCTTCAGGAAACAGTCACAGTTGGCAGACCAAGAGCTCACAGTTCCAATGTTATTGTGCAGGATGATGAATATATGGACATGGGTAGGAACATGGAGGCTACTGGTGCTACAGACAACGACCACAAATGCAGTGTAGGAATTGAGTCGGTCAGTAACATCCCAGAGGAAACTAAGGACAAAGAGCCTTCACACATATCTTCTGCTGAAGGATTTGATCCTGGTACAGACCTTGAAGAAATAACTGAGGAAGCAGAAGCAAAGACAAGAGGTGAATCTGAATCACAGAGTAGTGACAATGCCTTGGGCGGAACTGAATATGGGAGTTCTGTTGTTTCTTCTGTCAAGGTAGATGATTCTAGGAGTGATACTGCGGTTAAAGAGGATCCACTTGTTTCTACAAGTGACATTGGAATGGAAATATCTGGCACTGATGCTGTTGTAACACCGCATTCCAAAGTGGGAGACATAATTTGTCTTCAGTCAGAAGTTAATCAAACGTCGACCAACATGTCCAAGAAATCGGCCAATGAAGAAATATCTGCTGAACAATCACTGAGTTTAGGACCCAGCGACATTGAGGCAGATACTGAAAAAGTTGTAAAGGGAAAAGAGGATATTCATGACGTAAGTCAGGAAAGAAACACAGAGACTACTGCTGCTGCTGAATTCGCTTCACAGGCCATTGATGAAGTGCCTGACAAGACTAAGGAAGAGTCTAGTGAAGAAATGCCTAGTGGTGTTGCAATGAGTTCAGTACCTCAAAACGTTGATCCAGCTATTGAAGCAAGTGACATAGAGACAGAAAAGATAGATGATATCAATGAGGATAGAGCTGTGGATGTAACCCCCGTGGTTGCTGATCTTACATCACAAGCTGTTACTTCTATCCCTGATGAGACGAGGGAAAAGTCCAGTGAACAGATATCTAATATAGAACCTAGAGACGTTTGTCTAGATGTTGGAGCACCTGATCTAGACCTTGAGTACAGTGATGAAGCAATGGAAGTTGATGAGGAACACGAAACCAAACCATCCACTGAAGAAACAAAGGCGGAAGCATCAGTTTCTGATTCCAGTGTTCTGGTAGCAGCACAAGCAAGTTCTGAGGTACAGAGACATACAGAGTGTACAGAAGAGGAAGAGTCATTATTGGGAGAAAAGTTAAGAGATAGTGGATCAGGTGGTGCACCAGAAGTGGTTGGAAGTGCATCAGAGAGTAAAGACGTGTCAACCACTAATGTCAATGAAGAGCCTATCAAAGAATCTCTAGTGGTTGGAAGCCCAGACAACAGTGTCAATGAGTCAGCAATTATGTCAGATGAACATGCAGATCGCAGGGACACCATGACAGCAGAAAGAGTTTTTGACAAAAATTCTGAAGCCACAGAGGCATTTGATCAAGGTCTAGCAAGGGAAGATCTAGTGGAGGAAGATTTACCTAAGGATTCAGAAAATGTAGAAAACATTCAGGTTGATGAAAATGATGTTTCTGTGAAAAGTCAAGAAGGAGTAACTAACATTAAAGTAACAATAGAGGAAGCATCCTTACATCAACAAAGTAAAGAATTACAACCTTTCCCTGAAACTGTTGTTCAGCTAGAAGATTCTCAGCCGATGACTACTGAAAATGAAATGCCCAGTGTTCCTGCTGAACAGCCTGACAAAAGTGTAGATTCTCAAAGTTCAGTAACAGATACAGCTTCCAATGAAACAGAGGAGGAACAGAAAGTGGATCAAGTGAACACAGAAAAAAAAGATTCAGAGCAAAATGAGAGGGAAGACAATGCTGTCCCCATTGAAGATAGAGTCCAGACGGTTTGTAAAGAAATGGAAGAGGTATCAAAAATCATCTCTGAGAACAGTGACCATCTGGCTGAAAAGATCGATCAGGAGGATATTGAAATACCTGTACTAGAACGTTCTCAGTGTGAAGGAGATTTTCAAGCTCAAGGGTCAAATACAGTCGATAATGAAAGTGAGACTTCAGCTCAGATGGACGCACCAGTCTTGACCATGGCAACCTCGCAAGGAGTTGAGCTTGACGGAAGCACATTGACAGATGATGATACAAAGCAATTAGATGATGCAAGTTCTTCAAATGAAAATGAACCTGGGAATGCATCACCAGAAAGAAAGGATGACAGTCTTCAGGATGAAGGTGAGACTTCAGCACAGATGGAGGCACCAGTCTTGACCCTGGCAACCTCGCAAGGAGTTGAGTTTGACAGGAGCATATTGACAGATGATGATACAAAACAATTAGATAATGCGAGTTCTTCAAATGAAAATGAACCTGGGAATGCATCACAAGAAAGAAAGGTTGGTAGTCTTCAGGATGAAGCTGTTGATATACCTCAAGCAACCAAGCAAGCTGATTCAAATGATGCAAAGGGTGAAGATGCACTTTCAGATCAAGAGGATGGTACTCTAATGATTGACGAAGACTCTCCAGAAGACAACGACATCATCATATTTTATGATTCAAAGGCATGTAAGTATAACAAGGATGTCACAGTGCACGAAGAATCAGCACCCGAAGCAGTTAGTTCTGATGTTAGTGTCAAAGCTGGTCACAGTGCAATCATGGAGAGTACAAACGTGCCAACACAGAAGCCAGGGGATGCAAAAGAAACTGAAATACCTGTTCAATCCTCACCTGTTCAATCCTTACCTGTTCAAGAAAAAGATCCACAGCAAAACCTTGCACAACTGGCAGTGACTGCTCAGCCAGCAGATGAAGCAACTGCCAATATGATATTACAGGAGATATTAAAGATGTCTGAAACTATTGGAGACGGAGTTGTGACAATTCCAGTCACTACTCCGGAAGGTGAAATATTGAAAGTGCCTCTGACTGTAGAGCAGACTGGAATCTCAAGCAGTGTAGATGAGGGGGAGAAAGCCCGGGATGCAGAAGCTCAGGTAGTCTCTGATGATAAGCAAAAAATGGCTTCAGAGGTAGCTCGTACGCCAGAAGTGAATGGAGATGAGGGTCAAACTGAGGATACCTCAGGTCATCACTTGCAAAGCCAAGATAATTTTGATGAGGCAGAGGTGATAGCCCTCGAGTCGGAAGGAAATGAGACAACACCCACTTCTGAAGCCAGAAAAGCCAAAAAGAGGATTTTCTCAAAGACATGCCGTACTGGGAAGTGCTCTTGCAAACACTGCTTGGAAGCAAAGAGAGCAAAGCAAGCTCCAGCTGAAACTACACCTGATGAAATCAGCAAAGCTAAGAGAAAGCCAATGCCTACTAACAAATTCAAGAAACTTGCAATAACTTTTGCCCCAACCGTGAAGAAAGTCAAATGTTCATCATGCATTTTAGTGTTTGAGACTGATCAGGATATGCAAGCTCATTTTGAATCTACCCATGTTAATCAGCCAAAGTTGTGTTCCATTTGCCGACAATCATTCCAAAACGAAGAACTTATGAAGCTGCATGAACTGTCTCATGAGAAGTCTGGCATGTTCCTCTGCCTAGTCTGTGACAAGTCATACAAGAGGAAAGCCGATATTGTACGTCACTATAAATCCCATAGGAATCAAGCTCCAAGTCCCGTTAAGAGGAAAATGTCTTCTGAAATTGTGGTTGTAGATGATCAGGTGGATTCTAAGCCCAGTCAACCTGTTAAAGTTCGAAAACTGACTGCCGCATTCACGGGAGGAGTTGAGAAGGTGAAATGTACAGAAAAGGAGGCAGAGATGAAGGCACATTTGAATTCCGTCCACTCCAAAGGCCCATCTCAAGGCCCCTCTAAAGCCCCCACTAAAGCCCCCATGCTGTGCTCAATCTGTCAACAATCATTCCAGACTGAAGAAGACGTGAAGAAACACGAGTCCAGCCATGAAAAAAATGGTCGTTTTGTATGCCTTGTTTGCGATAAGACCTACAAGAGGAGAGCAGACATTGTGAACCACTATCATACACATAAGCCACAGGTCAAAGTTGAAAGCAGCAGCAGCAGCCAGGAGAAACCAAAGTCATCCACCACGCCTGCAGGTGGTCCTTCCAAAAATAAGCAGCAGACACCGGATAAACCCAAGACGGAACTCTTCTCCTGCAAGTTGTGTGGAAAAGACTTTGTCCATGAGGAGCTACTTGAAGAGCATAAGAAAATTCATACAGGTGAGTTTTAGGTTCTATATGCATGGACTTTACTAGAAACTATTCCAACAAAGCAGATTGTGCAAGATGTTGTGCAAAATACATTCAGAATTGTAAAAAAATAGATAAATCAAAATGGGGAATAAATTTGTTTGTATTACAATGTAACAAAAATCAAATGCAAGCTTTATGACCTAAAAAAGACGATGGTTACAAACTGAAACAAAACACTGCACACACACACACACACTTAAAAAAAATGTACTCTATCAAACATACAGTATCCTCATTTTGGTTGTCTATATAATATATCTTAATTAAAGATTAGTAGAGTAATAGAAATGCCTGTAGTCTATACTTGAGCAATTATATTTGAAGTATTATTCTCAAATTACAGTTGCTCTGATATTGATAATTGATATGGATGCAGCCACCTTGAGAAAAATTTCAACTTATAGGCTTACACTTTATTACTTTTCTGAAGTTCTTTTGAAAAATACATGTAGTTCATTCCTAATTTCTTTGTAAGTTAAAATATAGTATTTATGATTCACTGTACATGTATGTGTATCATGTACACACATTATGCAACGGAACAAGAGCTTTTGACGTGTCATTCTGTAAGGCCTATAAAAAAAAATATGTTGTATTGCCCTTTGCAACCGACCCAAAAATCTTGAAATCTACGGTCGGCTACAAAAAAATTAAAAAATTCCGACCGACCGACCCATGTTTTGGCACGTATAGGGCAATACAACATCTTTTTTTTTTAGGCCTAATGATAATGAATTGATTTAATTTTTAATATGGTACCATTTTCTCCAATTTCTTGATGCTGTGTGCAGGAGCCTTCCCATTCCCTTGCTCCATGTGTGAAAAGGCATTCAAGCAAGCCAACCAGCTCAAGAAGCACGAGCGTGTTCACACCGGTGACAAACCCTACATGTGTCAGTATTGCAATAAGCGTTTCTACAGCAGCAGCAACAAGAGGCGGCATGAACGCACCCATACCGGCTACAAGCCCTACGTCTGCAGGATCTGTGATAAGCCGCTCAGTGAGAAGTGGATCTTGAAGAAACATGAGAAGATGCATCTCAGTATCGGTGGAATCTCGTTTGATGACTGACGAGGCGAGCCTTCAAAGCTGATCTTGAGGTCTGGGGAGTGTTTCACAAAGACTAAGATTGACTTTAAGTTGGACTTAACTATGGCAGGCCGTTCATGTCGCTAGTTCCTCTAACCATTCCTGACATTGGATTTTTAATGGACATAAAAATCCTAGTCACGAATGTACATAGTTCATTGATTGAAGGGAAAAATGATATCTAAAGATCATAGTTGAGAGACCTATGGTGAGAGCCTGCCATAGTTAAGTCCAACTTAAAGTCAATCTTAGTCTTTGTGAAACACTCCCCTGGTAATGGAGTTCTATTCCAAAGGTAACTGGCTTTATAAAGCAGTTCTGAATCCTGTATCATGCAGCAGATCAGAATATCAAAATATGAAAGAATTTATGAAAACCGGCTGAAATGTTATATTCAGTCAAAACACTATACCAATGACTTTTAATAACTAGCATGATCTTGTTATCTTTCATGCTAATTCTTCAGCTATTATCTTCTCTCCTCCAACTCATTTATCACATATATTGAATTGTGTAAGATGAAAACAAATCAGTGGTGGCTTTGTTTGATTCTGTAAGAAATTATTTTCCATCATTACCAGAGCTTTAAGTTATCTTTAAAGGGAGTGAAGCTTAGCAAATACTGGTTAACGCCATCTACGTCTTATTTTGGACAACTGCACGAAAACGAATGGACTTGATTAATGGTAGTCAGCGACTTAATCTCTACATTGTCAGCATTCGCGCATCAGACCGTATAGGTATGTTGCACGCACATGATTGCCGTGGTCGCATTGTCTGTATTGGTATTATACCTGATTGGCCTCGAGTCAGGCCACGGGAAAGACACATAGTCTCGTCAGGCTACACTCCCTTTAAAGTCTATTATGTATGAACTTTCGCAGCTTCCAAGGCAAATTTATTGTCAAGGAAAGTTCTTTGCACCATATGAGCGGGATGGAGATCATTGGATTTGAATGTATACTAAAAAGGAATATCATTTACTTTTATTGTTTACGTACAGGTAGTACAGTTTATATTGTGAGCAGAATGACTCGCTCTCTCAATATTGCTGAACTGAATTATTTATACCCTTGGTAAGTTTGGGGTTTTGGAGTTGTTTTTTCTCTCCATAACTCAAGAATGAATGTTGGAATGGTTGAACTAGGGCCTTTGTTGAATACCTTTAGATGTAAGCTTTAATATGTCACATTCTTAACAAAAAAATATATTGTGACAAATCAATTTTTCACAAACATCAAAAATTACAACCTTGATACGGGTATGAATAATTTAGTTGTTAATTTATATGATACACGCATTGGGTCCTCTATTGCATCTGTCCATATTTATTATTTGAAATGTTTACCCATAATAAGGTAAAATTTTGTGACAACTACATGTAATAAGGTTAATCATAAAAGAATTTTGTTACACATAATGCCACATAAGCTGATTAAGTTAATATAGTTATATGCTCACTTTATCATGATATATTGCGATCAATACCAGATTAAATGTAGGTAGTTATCATGTCCAGGTCTTTAAATGCTCATACAGTGAAATATATACGTGAAACAGTAAATTATGATCTTTACCTTATTGCACTCAAGAGTAGCTGAAGAATGTATTATTTGCTTAAAGCTAAAGACCAGTTATGGTCATGCAATTGCATAGTGAAAGAAACGTTGTGAAATCGATCAAAAAAGGTTGATCATCTAGCATAGATGTACTGCAAGGTTCTGGAATCATCAAAATTATAAGAAATTTGGCCAAGTCTTCATAAAGTTAGAAGCACTGTACACAGAAAGATGTATATGGGACTACACACACGTGCGCGACACGTGCATTTGTATCTCTCAACAGTAGATAGATATACTAATTTACCAAATATATCAATTAGTAGGCGGTTTTCTGTCAAAATTGTTATCGTCATGTAATATTCAAAACATATTCTTTCACATGATTGGTAATAAGAGCTTCCATTTCATTTTTTGAAATTGGGGCGTTTCCAATACTGGTCTTTACCTTTAATGTACACTCCTACTGTAACACTATGGCGGCCTATGTTAATGTCTTGCCTTTATAATAGGTTTAACTTTAAATTTCTGATCATGTCGTGCGAGAATGTTGTCATCCTCTCCCCCATTGCCCACTTGAATTTACATTTTACATTGATACGTACACTGTAGTACATTTGAACTGCACTGATACAGTCAATATTTCTTTTTATTCTTCATGAACTGTATTTGCATGGCTGTAAATTACGGGAAATGGTGCAATTTTATATTGAGGTGTTTGAAAATTTAACACCCTATTGGTCCTCATTTTCTGAATTATTTATCTTCAACGACATGAAGCGGTCACAAATACACAGTCTCATTCTGTGTCATCCTCCAAATATCTCTCTTGTATAGTTTTTACTGTAAAACTTGTACATATAATTATGTTTTTGTTTAAAATCGTTGTTTTGTCATTATTGTAGAATGGTAAATACAGTAAGTAAAATCACGCAAGTTGGTGTATTCCAATCACTTTTAAGTATTACAGAAATACATATCTTTTGTTTTTTCCTGAATGGAAATAGATCATGCCTAATTTACCAATGTTAACAAGTTGGGGGAAATTGATGTATGAGCTATTTTATAATTGGATATGTCTACCATATCTGGAATGTACAAAAGATTTACTCTTGGAAAGCTGATTTCCATAATATGTTAATGATTGGAAACAAGGCCATTTTTTTCCCTCTCGAATGGCTGCATATTTTTGCTATATTTGAGGTTTTAAAACATGTTCCTGCATTGTTATGAATCACTAAACCTGTATTGATACATTTATTCAACATTTATTTCATGCATAATGACATGCATCATTGATAGAAGTTAGCGACTTAAAGATAAAGTTGAGTTCTGGTCATGCGATTGCATTGTGAGAGAAACGTTGTGGAATCAATCAGAAAAGATTGATCTTGTAGCATATAAGTATTGGTGTTTACTGTAAGGTTCTGGAATCATCAAAATTATAAGAATTTGGCCCAGTCTTGGTAAACTTACAAGCACTGTACACAGGAAGATGTACATGTATATAGGACTACACAAACATGTGGCATAAAAAGCTGTTCTGATTTTTATGATGTTATATGCCATATTTAGAAGAGCCATGCTTTTCAGGGAACATTTTTTTATCCGGTGTTCTTCCACACTTGCATAATACCATGATAACGCTCACAAATTATTTTTCATCTCTTCCCAGAACTCAACCTTCTCTTTATAAAGTTTGATGACAATTCACCCAGTAAATATTTTGTTTACAAGACAATCATGAATATAATGAATTAGGTAGTGCATGCTTCATTTGTATATTGTTTTTTTTATATACCGGTACTTGTATTCTCAATTACAACTCGATAGTCTCTCACTCTGGAGCCCATAAACGAGGGTATAGGTTTTTTTGTACATTTCAGGCTTGTAAATGTTTTTTGCATAGTAATATTGATTAGTGCTGTAAACTGTACATATGCCATGTAAAGATGAAATTGTACATTATGCATTGTAATCAAGGTCTTGTACATGACACTATATTTTTATGAAGTGCAGCAAAGTTTCAGTTTCCATTTCCCCCCTTCATTTATGAAATTATTTTCCTTGACTTCTTTTATCTTGAACTGTTTATGAAATGCCCTTTGTTATTTCTTATTCCTATGCCAAATCATGAAAGGAAAATTAATCTTTTTAAAATGCAGAAACAGTATTTTTTTTATAAATATACCAGTTATCATGTACCAAGTTCAAATTCTTCACCACACAAGTTTCATATAAAAAAAAACACTAATTATTATTTAAATCTTATGTACAGTCTAGTGCACCATGTGCCAATAATGGTTTAATTTGTGTTTTGCCACCTAAAAGCCACCATAATGTTCATGTTCAGTATCTCATCAGAAATCAGTTTGGTGTATTAATCCAATATTTCTTATCTCAAATAATATCCAAGTTGATTAAAAATGATGAGGTATATTGATATAAAGTCAACCACCTTGCCACGCATAATGATTTGTCGTCAACTTCGTGTTTATATTTATACCTGTATGATCTCACAACATGAATTGTATTATTCTATAATGAAACGACTCGCTTAGCTTGCAATGTATGTTCAGCATGTGCTCCATAGTGCATTTTAGTTTACTCTACTGCATCTCAATTTCATGTTTCAAAGTGGTGTAGTGATTGAACATATTTTAGGAATAGCAGAAATATGCTTTGTACAGTGTTATGCGTCAATAAAAGCATTTATCAAAACTCGATCACGATTTGATATACATGTATAAATTGTACTTGTTTTATGACACAACTAATAACATAAAGACCTATTCTGCTGAATGGGAGACAGAGTTGAAAGAAGAGATATTGAGAGAGAGAGAGGGAGAGGTACAGCGAGAGAGAGAGAGAGAGAGAAAGACCTAGAGAGAGTTGAAAGAAGAGATATTGAGAGAGAGAGAGAAGAGAAGGGAGAAAGGGAGGAGTGATGAGAGGGAGAGGGAGAAGAAAGCAGGAAAATCAGAGAAGCAGACTGGTGAAAGTTTGAGTTAAATCTGACAAAAATATAAGAAAGTTACACATTTTTGAAAGCTGAAATCATTCTTATGTATGAGTACTTCAAATTGGCTGAAATGGTTATGTCACTGTCACAAAGTTCTGGACTACTTTCCCATTTGTTTCAAGACACAAAATGATTGAAATGTCAATTTTTCAAAATGTATGATTCAGAAGGGTCTTTTCTTTTAAGAGGACCAATAATACGTTATCCATAATTATTTTGAGTAGTGCCCCACGGGAGAAAAATAAGAAAATTATATCATATTTTTGTAAACAACAAATATGAGAGTTGTCCCATGACTACGTCACAATCAACTGACCAAATTGCCAATTTGCATGGATTTAGTGATCTCATGTTTCTAACATTCATTCAATTCCCATGAATTGGCAGTAAATTGCAAGTTAAATGTACTTGTATTTTGGTGCTATTTGCTGGTTTAGACAAAGCCACTCAACATTGTGTTTGACTAAGCTCATAATATTTTTAACTATCTTATTTGATGTGTGTCACAAATTTTATTATACACAGGTTGCAAATCTATGAAATATCATACTAATGTGTAATTTTTGCTACAATGATTATGATTTTCTTCAGTAGGGTATTCCCTGTATTCTTAGAATGTTTTTATCTGTTTTCCTTTCATTGTATGGGAAACTATTACATATAAATATTACATGTGACATAATGACAAACAAAAGGGTTTATTTTTACATTTTCTAATTTAATTTTGCATAATATTCACACAACTTCACTAGATATTATTTACATTTTATCATAAATAACATATACACAACAAATTTTATATCAATCATACATATATGAATGAAAAACTAGGGACCAATTAGTACTGTACCACATACATGTTCATGTATATCTATACAACAACAACAAAAACCATCCAATACGGTTTTTATCAAGATACATCTAAGGCAAGTTGCGAAAGGCAAAGGGTGTTATCGCTTATTTCTCTGTGCCAAAGAGTTGGTTACTGTTGAACCTCTATTCTTATCAGAATGAAAATAAATGTGCTAATGCTCAAGAACATAATGTGCCATAAATACTAAGTGAACTTCATACAATTTATTTTGCAAGCGAATACTGCATTTCAAATACAGACACTATACACATACTGTACATGGTGTGTTTATGTTAATATATAGTAGACTTTTCAAGCAACATATACCTCAACAGTGTAGCAAATTCCTTTTTCCAATACTATAACTCGACTTTCAAATGCAAGTATACTTCAAATAAACTGGAAATTAATTTCACAAAACACTAGCATCACAGAAACAGAAACCAGAAACCAGAACAGCAAATGAACAAATAGACATACGGTAAATGTAAAGTTACTCATAAGTATTTTAATTTTAGTTCTTACTTCAGACATCCTAGTAAGCCATTATTCATTGAGATGAAATTGTTGCCTTTTGATGAGCTTGTGTCATTCAGTAGTATGATTTTTATGTTTAAACTTAAGTTTTGTCCTCAGGCTTGCCTGTTAAAAGACCTATTTTCCTGTAACTCTCAGATACATTGCTACAATACACGTCAAAGTAACCTAGTGCATCAAGTGATTAAGGGTGCATTAAGGGTGTTCATGTTGTTGCCAGTGATTTAGCTTTTTTCCTTTTAAATGTTTTAAAATTTATATAACCGTGTAATCAGTTATTGTTATCAGTTATTGTTAATACATGCTTTTTTCCTTGTAAATATGTTTTTAAGTTACACAACCTTGCCATTTCCTTGTAATAATTTGTGTACATTACCATGTTTTTTTGTTGTTGTAAATGAACTTCTTGATCTCGGTTGGCGGACTCTGGGACCTGCTTGTTTTGGGGGCTCTGATCGATCGTATCCTACCATCTTTTGAATTGCGCAGATCCCTGAAACACGTTGGTCTCTTTGCCAATCCGCTGGGATTGAGATGTCCATCCTCCACAGGGGCCCCACTCACAAGCATTGCTTTTTGGGGTCTCAATTTGGATCATGTTTGTTCGTCATGATTACTATGCCATGTGTTTTTTTAATAAACTGAACTGAACTGAACTGAACCGAATTACTGCATAATGATAACTCTTAAAGCCTATCTGCACTAGTTTGGCCAGGAGGGAT